AGCTTGATCATTTGGGGAGCCCATGATTGATATGTTTCAGTTTGTCTGAGTATATCCCCACTTTAATACATATATTATTTTATTTTAGCAAATTATTGATTTTTAATTTGTTCATATAAATTGATTGGATTTGGAAGTTTAATTTTTATCCTTATAATTAGGATTGAATATATTTTTATATATTGTCAAGTCCTGCTTGCTATAACTCTCGTTATTTGCTCATTGGATTGCATTGCAACTCACCAAAATCGTGGTTATATATGTTCATATAAATGCAAGGAGATAACCACTGAATCTACTCGTCTAATTTGATCGAGCAAGTTTTACTGCTTCCTAATGGTGAGTCTCATACTTTGTTCACACGGGCAAAGGTTTAAATAATAAATTGATTTTGCACACTTTGAATGCTAATTATATTTTGAAGTTGGTCCATTATTTCTACATTCAGGTTATGTTGTAAACTTGATAAACCTTTATATATATATATATATATATATATATATATATATATATATATATATATATATGGTAAAATTATTTCTACAACCGCTTTACGTACAACAATGACGGGTGTATGGTTATAATTTCTTACATTTAATGCTTTTATCTTTTGAATGGTTATGATTCCCCACATTTAATACTTTCAGTATATATATGGTAAGTATTTGACTACTGCAAGTATAGCAGCTGCAGAAATGTAAACCCTCATATATATAAATATATATATATATATATTTATATATATATATATATATATATTTATATATATATAAAAGAGGGTTTACATTTCTGCAGAAACTCTCTCTTGGGTTTCCTACAAGACCAAAATCACATCAATAACAAACATAGTATAATGTCATATCTATATATGATTCATTTTTAATTTGTGAACAGGCACATTAAGTTGTTAAGGCAGAGTGCCAAAGTAAGGAGAGAGAAACATTTAGCCAATAGGTTACTCCTTTTGGTTGTTTCACTTCAAACTTTGTGCCGGTCATGTCGATGATGAACAACAATCCTCGTTGGTGCGTGGTACTCACTAACTCTTTTGGAGAGTGGTTGAATTGTAGAAGCCATTTCTTTTTTTCTTTTTTTGGATTACGAAAGTTTAGGTGGGGGTAGGCACCGGTATCCCACCAGGGCCAAGGAAGACCCCCCAACCTCTTTGAGGATTTCCGGAAGGGATTACATATCACCCACCAAAGAGGACCTCAAATCGGTCAGCAGAGTTCGAACTGCCATCCTTTTGGGACAGCAGTGAACCCGTAACAAACTGTGCCAAACCTCTTTGGCGTAGAAGCCATTTCAAACCTCACTTCTCTTTCTATGAAAGGTTAAACAAGATGGTGAGGGTCCCTAACACAAGAGAAGAAGAGTTTGAGTTTGGATGATATGATCAATAACATTCTACTAACTTAGAATTTCAAGTATGGAAAATTTCAATTTTTGGTGTTGAACAGTTGTACTAAGATATTTATAATACCTTTTGTATACAGTGTATATGTGTGTATAAATCCTATATATGCATGAACCACATGTGTCAAATTTTGTATAAGTACACAATTATGAGAATCGGATTTGGGCTTAATATACATCCTGCAAATTTGGATGAATAGTGCAAAAGAAACATATAAGCATTGTGAAGTAAAAGGAATATAAATAAGGATGGAGAAGGTGGCACATTGGAAGGTAGGTTTCATTTTTCTTCTTATTTTCCTTTTCGTACTGCTTCAACTCTACAAAATTCTATTCCTAATTTTAGACATTAAAAATTTATTGAGGGGAAAAGTGGAGGATTCTATTTTCAATTTCATTAGGAAAATTTTTAAAGACACCAAGAAGGTTAAAGGTGTTAATCAAATCTTGATCTGCTTGATTTTTTAAGGTTGATAATCCTGAGGTTATAAGCCAGTCCAGACACATTAGCCTCTCTATCTCATATATAAGGTGGTGACTAGCCTTAAGGCTCAAGAATCACATGAGAAACCTTATCATGCCTAATCAATGCAACTTTGTAAATGGGAGGCATGCTTTGGATAAGGAAATTTTTCATTTCATGAGAACCAAGAAGGGGAAGAAAGGGTGGATGCTGATCAAGGTGGACGTGGAAAAAGTATGATAAATTAAGTGTTTTGAACACTTCTACCTAGCCTCTGGTCAAAAGATTAGAAGGAGAACATTTCAATGTTTCTTTTCCAAAAATGAGAATCACATTAGAAGAAGAGACCTATGCCACACTCTAACTTTTCTCCGATTACTAATTTATTTGGGCAAATACTTAGGGGTTCTCATTATGCACAAGATAGTGAACAAAAATACCTATAGACATATCCTAAACAAGACCAACGGTAAACGAAGTGCTTGGAAAGAAAAACCCTTATCCATGGCAAGGAAAGTAGTGCTAACAAAATGCCTACAACCTAATTCTTGTTAGAGTATCCCTCTGGACCAATTAAAGAATTGTCAATAAATTACTTCCTATTAAATCTCAACTAAAGTGGATGAGATAAAATTCTTATACACAGTCTTACTCTTGCATAGTTACAAAGACATTGTTTAATTTAGGAATTGCCAATATCTTATCTAAATTCTTAATTTGAGTTCAAACTTTTAAGTGTAGAAATTCAAAAATAATGTACATAGGTGACCCCGAGCTTATCACGTGTCATTTGTTTATATGGTGATTTAGCCAAATTAAGATGGTATGCTTAGCGCTAGTATTTAACACTCGTTCTTAAGGTTTATTCATGTGTGGCAGGAAGGAAAATTAATATTGAATTACAAGAAATCAAACTATAACAAAATTGAATTGGATTCATTTACTTCTAACTCAAGAGGCTTTTTGACCCTAATAGTCTCATTTTTATAAGATTTGACTGGAATAATTTCTTGGTCAAACTTATTACCTATGTAATGCATAACAACACGGTACTATAGGAATCACTTTAAGACGTGACACCTAAACAACTGCGTCCTTTGTATTTGTCACTGATTGATCAGTACACTGAGACGCGGTACCGTTAGAGCCGCGTCTTTTGCAAAAAAAATTACTCGGCACGCGGTACAATACCAGCCGCGTAAGATGAGGTACCAAAAATGTGGTCTGACACAGTTTTGTATTGCTTGATTTAATAATACAGATACCACTCAATTTTTAAAATGTGTTAAAATTTACGATTAATATGATAGTAAATCTTTTTAAGGAGAGAGAAAGCTCAATAGTTGTTTTTATTTTTAATTTGGGTCAACATATCATAGGTACAATAATCTGGCTTTTTCTTCAAAAATTGTATCGATTGATTTAATAAAACTTGTACATTTATATTTCAGATTAAGTATTAAGTGTTAAATTATTTCCCGTAAAGTTTTGGAGTCAAGATTTTTTTTTATTTTAATTTATTTTGGAGTTATATTAATTTTTAGGGTTTGATGTTTGTCATTTTAAATGATATAAGTTATGTCATTTTTTTTATTATGGAATTTAAATGATAATTTTTAAAAAATAGTCACTCTCTCCTCCCATGATTTTCATTCTTTGGGTCTATCTCTCTCCAAAACTTCACCTATTCTTCCCTCCGTTTTAACTGTATTCTTTGTTTTCCTATATCTAATGGTAATCCGTGAAGTTGAACCCAAAAGCCCATAATGTTAAAATTTACCTTAAAATGCAGATCTGAGGTGCCTAGCAATGTAAGTTCAATAGGTTCCCCATCACTTTCCGTAGACCATTGATGAAAACATGTTACGAAATAATTATTATTTCCTGTTATTATAATTTGACTTACAATAATATAGGATAGTTATGTAGGTAGTGGGATATAGGGTAATTATTTTGATTATTAACGGTAGATGGTTAGAGGAATTATGGGGTTGTTGTTGATATTTCTCACTCTTTATCTATTTAAACTAATTAAACTAAGGTTTTATATTTTTTATGTTGCCAGAGATAAAATTATCTATTACACATACATAAAAATATGTGAAACAATTTAAAGAAAAAAAAAACATAAGTCACACTTTTCTGTGTGTAGAAAATAAAATTATTTCTTATAAGACATTGGCTGTAGAACTTCCTCAATAGAGTTCAATTTCAATTTTTATTTTTACGTAACAACATTTCTAGCAAATTCTTCATCTTTGAAGTTGAACGTGTTATGTGTTTGTTCACATATTTGAAATCTTCAAACCCTCCTATTCATCCCATGCTTTGGGGATCAGCGGTTTTTTAGCAATGATTCTTCTGACCGATATTTTCTTAGCCACTTGCAGGACTTCAGTTTCTTCTGCCTCTAGGTTAATATTCGCTCCCTCCAACCCGCCTTCTTCGCTCCAATCTATATATCACTCCAAGACTAGAAAGACTTGAAACTTGCATACATACTTTAAATTTTCACCTTCGGACAACCTTGGAGTTCTTGAAAAGCCCAGAGAAAACCCTACTGAAAGGAGAAAGAATTCCAACCATTCGAGAAGGGTATTTACTTTTTTTTTATTGGGATAGGATATTGTGACACCCAAGTGACACCCCAGTCAATCTTACCGTTAGATCGCTTATGTTGATCCAACGGTTATATTTATTTCTATCTTTGTATGGTCATGATTTTCCAAATTTAAAGTGAAAGTATTAAATATGGGAAATCATAACCATACAAAGGTAGAAATAAATATAAAATATTAAATTTGAAAAATCATGACCATACAAAAATGGAAATAAATATAACCGTTGGATCAACATAAGTGATCTAACGGTGAGATTGACTGGGTGTCACATGAATGTAACATAACTTGGGTGTTTCACAATATCCTATCCCTTTTTTATTTGGATAAATCTAATTAACCAAGGATCTACACCCTATCTTTTTTGAAAACTTTAATTACATTTCGTGGCAACAGCAAACTCAGAATCAACAAACTAGGTACCAACATAAAGATCATAAAATAATCTGCAACCTTCATACAATTACCACGATTTTTATATTCGAAACAACCGTCAACGGTAAGACATCCCTTCTCTACATTTTAGACTTAAAAGCACCCTTTAACCACAAAACCTCCAATACGAAAAGGGAGGGGGAGTACACATGTAAAATGCCACAAACTAGTTTACCGGAAGAAAAAAAAATGCCACAAACTTCAATCCAACCCAAAGGATGGTCTAGTTTTTTCTTCTATCTCTCTCTCTCTCTCTCTTTCTTTATTTTTCGATGTTTTCACCAGTTCGAATGTACATAATCAAATGCTAATTCCCGGACAAATAAACAATATGTAACAAAAGCAAAAAATATATAATATTAAAAAAAACATAAAAGTAAAAAATAATATAATAAAGAAACATAGAAAAATGGGGACACGAGTTGGCAAAAGGATGAAAAATGCAAACCCAGTGATAGTTTTACATGCTTTCAGCTCGACCAGGAGTGGGTTTTGGCTTCAATTTTGCCATGTCAACAAGGTCCCCAAATAACTTATCCTCTGGCTTGGAAGCCTTCCCAGATGGAACATAAGATGTAGTAGAAACCTGGTAAGAGTTTCTCAAACCACTATCATCTCTAACAGACATACCATACATTTGCTGTTCAATATATGGAACTCCTTGTTGCTGAGCATAGCCGTATCCTGTATATTGGTTTCCGTACATTTGTTGAGGATACATGGAAACCACAGGACCAGCTTGCATTTGATGTGGAACCATACCCATGTAAGGCCCTGCAGCACCTTGAATATGCTGAGGGTGCAAACCCAATTGACTGCTCCCGGCATGGTTATTGATTGCTGACATATGGCCGTTAGCATTTGGCTGCATATACATACCAACAGCCTGGTCATTACCCATTGCTTGAGTCCCCTGAGGATGTGCAGCACTCTGCACATGTGTCATAACCACTTGAGTGACTTGTGGTGATTGTGGATATTGAGCGCCTGCTACAGGACTGCCATTATCTGCCGGTTGAGCTTCCCAGGGAGGTGGGGGCAATGATCCACTGCTTTGTGCACCTGTCATACGAAAAAGAGAGTGATCCAATTAAGTCCGAAATATGAGAGCACAAATCTTTTACATTCTCCATCCATCCAGGCACCAACCCAACACATCAGCGCCGGTCAGTTGGGAAAGAAAAACATTGAAAACTTGTGAATTTGCCATGAATCAACTTAAAACCATTTTCTAAAAAGAGAATGCAATTGCGAAGGATTTCTGCCAAACAGGAATATGCTTAAATCCAATGATGAAACAAACAACGCACCATAAACTGGCAAAGGTGGCTGTTGCTGTTGTGCAACCTGACCATTCCAGGCAGGACCTGTACTTTGTGCATAGGGTGATTGCTCATACCGAGGTGAACCTGCATTTGGCACATTTCCATTGGGGTAGAATCCACCTTGAGATATGAAAGCATGCTGTTGTTGAAATTGGGGAGCAAATGGACTGGTTTGGCCAGCACCATTAGTTGGCTGGGTTAGATGGATATTGACAGATATAGGTGCATTGTTATTAGAAAACATATCAGAAAGAACAAGGGCATTCTGCTGAGACACAGGACTGGCAGGCTGTTGTTCTCCAAGATGAACAAGAGCAAGTGAAGTATCAGCTTTTGGTGAGTTATAGTCATCTCCACTGAGCAGGTCCCATTTGGGATCAATCTTCGCAGGGATAGCTGAATCGTTAGAGGCAGGGGGTGCAGGAAGCAATAACTGATTCAATGTTTGGGACCCTGCTTCAGAACTAGAAGAGGCATATCTGTAAGCAAAATATATGATACAAAAGCCATATAGCCAAAAGCCACCACATAGGTCAGGTGAACTTGAGAGTATTTCAAACATCAATCTATTTCTACATGTTTATGCATAAACTAACAAACAACAAATGTCTGCAGCCAAAACTAAAGCCTATGAACTAGCTGATAAACCTTTCAATTGATTACTGATGAGTGAATTAAACACAAAAATGATGACTTTTCATGGTCTCGTAGAACATAAACAACAGAAACTGGATTACCTCCCATCAGTTTGTTTGCTAGTATCGCCAGTATCAACCAAAGGAGCATCAATATCTACAAGTACTCCAGCTGGTGCGGGTTTTGAATGCTCTTTGTCATTTAGATTTTGAGTAGAAGTTTCTGAAGATATAGATTCATGCTTGGCCAGTACACGCTGCAGGTCATCATTTAGAGCTAGTCCTTGGCATAGTAGTGATTCATCCCTGGAAAAATAGACAGAAAAACATCATAATAATAACTGTTATATTGTTTGGATAAAAAGAATAAATTTTATCAAGAATACGATTGACATGAAACAAACATTTAAAGATATATGGTCATCATTATATCATAATATCATGAAAAGGTACATCAAGCCTTACGAAGTTGAGTTAACGAGGTGTACGACTCTCTGCTTGTATGTTCGACACTGCTCCACCAAATCAAGAATAACCTCCTGTCTAAGACCCTGGAAATAGAAACAAAGGTCGCACATGGGATGTTAAGTAGGACTTCTTACTTACAAAAGAATAATCAATAATCTTCTGAACTTTAGAAAGGAAAACATATTTAGACTTTGGATGGGAGAAATCAAATCAACTGCAACACTAAGGATTCAAAAGAAACCATCACATGGCTATTTAGCAGTCATGAAAACCTGGTCTAGTTTTGCAACTTCATGAGTCAGATCAAAGTCTTTCCATAAGCAAAACCTATAATGCTTTTTAAGTTAAAGAAATTTACAAGGAAACATTATGCAAAATAATTGCATATATGTACCAGTTAAAAATACATAATGTGCTGCAGTGTTAGTCTAAGAATGACAATGCAAAAAATAAATATTTCCAAGCTGATAATATATCCACAACAGCAAAAAGGCCATCAATCATATCACACACCATATATAATTGGCCAAGTTTCAATTTTCATCTCTGTAGCTTTTACTCCGTTTTAAGTTTCATCCCAAAACTTTTAATTCAGTCAATTTCAATCACTAATACCAAAAATTTTCATTGTTTTCCACCTCTATAATCAGTGTTATCATTAATGAAAACCTATATCTGTCTCATGCCATTAACAATTTTCAACACCCTGGGAATAACTCCCAACAATATCAGCAGTTAAAGCACAAAGACTACAAGGGAGAGGGGACAAAAAAATATGTCAAATCCATAAGATTCATAATATTACAATAAAAAGTGTTTTTATTCATATATTTTCATCATAATTTGAATGTTTAAATTGAGTAACTTACTTCTTTGTTACTGGGGTCTATTGCACTGAGCATTTCTGCAAGAACATCCATAATACCACGTGCATTCTGAATTTCGGTCAAACTGAGAAAGAAAGATCAATTAAGGCAAAATAACACATAAATACACATGGCAATCCGTGATGTAGCTTAACTTTCATCTTCATCATAGAAATACAAATAGCATACATACGAAAAGTACAATGTGCTTATTGCCTATAAAGTAAAAAGTTTCAGCCCATGGAATGCAGCTTAATTTCTTATATTTGAAAAATTAGATGCATTAACAGTTAAAAAGATACTGATCATCTAAGAAACCCGGACACGCATTTTTTTTGAAAAATGGCGTGTCGGACACGTGTCCGACACGGACACGCTTCGACACGTTCGGACACGCGGTCAACATTTTGGGACACGTGGTCAACTCTCCGACACGTTTTTTGGACACACAGTCAACGTTCGGACACGCTTGAACACGTTTTTTTTTTTTTTTTAGTCTTAATTTTATTTTATTAACTAAAAATAAAAAAAACATTTATAAATCAATTTTTTTCTGTTATGAAATTTGACATGAAAAATTAACAAGGTACGAAAAATTATTATTTTTTATATTTATGTTAAGAAATTTGAATATTTGATTGGTTATATGACTAATTATGAACTGTTATATGTATTAAATATAAATTATATTATATATATTAAAAATAGGGTTTTATCAGAGTTATGTTGTAGGAAAAGTGATTGTGTAATGTTATAGAAATTCGTTTTGCGTGCCTTAATTTTTATTTATTTTTTTGTTTTAAAAAGTGTGGGCCCCACAAAATGTTGTGAGTGTAAGAAAGTTTGTTGTGTTATGTTAAAGGATAAAACGAAAACCCTTAAAATATTATTTAATATCAAAACATGTCCCAACGTGTCGAAATATGTCATTTTTTAGAATTAACGTGTCGGCGTGTCGTGTCATGTTCCGTGTCCGTGCATCATAGCTGATCATTGTATCGAGACTAGCATTTTTCACATACCATTATATAAAGTGAAAAACATGCGGAAGCATTAAAAGAGTAAGCAGAATAAAAGAATACAGAAACTGTGTTCAAAATTGGATTACTCCTTTAAGCTAAATTTTGCATACTTCTTTTACTTGTCATTGGTTCCCAAAACACCACCTGGTCTTGCTTGATTCAATAAGGAAAAAGATTATGCAACAGCCATTAAAAAAATTACAAGGATTGGTCAGTCATAGAAGAGCACATGGTTTCAAATGTGATATATATATATATATATATATATATATATATATATATATATATATATCACAAACCATAAAAAGAAATCTGATGATTGAATGAGAGTTAGAAACTATAGCTCTATACGGAAACTAGGAATCAATAAAAACTATGCCAACCTATTTTTTAGATAATAAGAAAGGAATAGATAGATATGTACCTTAGTGTTGGAAACTCAGACTCCACGGAGGACTCAGATCTGTCCTGCCTAGCATCTGAGTTGCGTATATTTTGAGGGTATGATGCCAACGGTTGCGTTTGTGGAGGTGTGAATACAGGTGCAGATTGTTCAGATCTCTGCGGGAATACTGCCCCAGCACGCTAAAATAAACAAACCCTTTATATAATAAAAGAAATAGACAAACAACTAAATCTTAAAAAGGTTTATGTAAATATTCCAAGTGACAATTCACATTCAAAAATCAAACCCACATACAACCAATCAGATAAGAAAATTGTGTCCCAACGAAAATGCTAAATATTGATTGAACTTATGAATTATTTTCATCCATTCTCACAATGGCAAGTTGAGAGGTATACTAGGTAACAAATTCTTTATGTAAAGAACTTCATAGTAAACATACCAATAATTCCTGGTATGCAGCATAATATTGTGGATATCTTGCCCTCGGCCCTCCAAAAGCTTCTTGCCAGGTATCTATAAGAACTAGTATCTTCTCTCTGACATGAAAATCAGGCTACAATTGGCATGGCAAACAACATCAACATAATTTACAAGATGAAAGCAAAAACAACATAGGAAACATATGAAAACATTTAAAAAATTATGTATACCTTCTTCTTTACTATTTTCACCATCTCATGTAGCACATCTTTCTCTGCAACATGCATGTGAACAATGTCTCCACAGTTCTTTATGATTGTCTCCAGCAACTAGAATACAGCAAAACAACATAAAAGCAAATGAGTTTTTCTATTTGTCAATAATAAGGATATGTCAATTATATCCAGATTAGAGAGAATGCTTCCTATACTCTCAAAAGTTTAGTTTCTTTTCCATACCAGCATAGTACAAAGACTTTCATTTTGAACATGAAAAAATTCAATAACAAGCTTCCGACAAAGTCCATTTGAACAAACAGTGACCAGCTGACATTATGAGATTCTCAGTCTATGTTTGGATGGAACAAGTGGCATGGTAAAAAGTTCAACCTATTGTTTGGGAGTTTCTCAAATAATAGACTGGAATGGTTAAGGTAACTCAAACCACTCCATTCCACTAAAACCTACAAATTATCATAACCTCAATTTGGGGGCTCTCTAATGGAACACTTCCCCCTCTTAATTTTTATATGGTTATTTACAGTTTCAACCCCGAAAGCTTTAACCTTTTTTTCTTCCCTTTTCTCCTTTACCTTTCTAAACAAGAGCTATGCAGCTTTGTGGCTTTTCAATCTAACTGTAATTCATTTCTATACATCGAAAAGTTTATGAATTGATTAACGACTAAGATTGATACTTCTAAATGGGATGTCAACAATCTGTAAGGTTCGACAAATTCATATAAAACAAAGGACAATCAGGTGCTATAAAGCTCCCATTAAGCCCAGGATGCAAGGAAGGGCCAGACTCATTGTGTGGGTCTACAGAAGGCAGTCTTACCTTCAATTACATGAATCAAACCTGTGACCTCTCAGTAACATGACAACAACACTTACTGTTTTGCCAAGGCTCCACTTAAACACATTTTTAGAACACAATAGAAAAAAAATCCTTAAAAACAAATTGAAGAGTGACCTTAGACTATTTTTGTACTGGGAGTGATTCTTTACTTCAAGAAGCTCTATCTAATTATGCCAAGTGTTTGAAGCCCATACAGTCTACGTGGAGCTTTCTTAGGAGAAGTACGACACAGTTATGGTGCTAGTTTCTCACTTTAAATATTTGAGAAAATTCCTCCAGTTCTAAGTTTACAGTAGAAATGGACATTAAATTTGTAATCCATTCCACTCAATTAATTACCATTGTGACATCAAAACAATAGAGAGGAACTCCGCTCCAAAGCTTTCAAACTACTGAGTCAAAGGTATTGTGGCAGTGTAATTTAATATTTTATTTGTCTTCTTGAATTGGATATTTTCTAAGGGCTAGGATTTGTTTTTAATTAAGGGTTGCATGATTTATAAAGGGTTTATTCATCATAACACACCATAATTAAGATTTTCTTAATAACCCTATGACTTTATCATACATCATCCGCCCATCATTAGAAAATTAACAGTAATAAGGCCAGAGGCATCCAGAAGATATCTTTAACATTAGTATAATCCCATCCCACCACAGACATCCAGAAGTTGATACTTACTCTTTCTTTCCCAAGAAGAAAAGAACATGCTTGAACATTCTTCATTCCTCAAGAATAGTCTGTATCACCAGTCACTAAACATACTACTATAACTAGAAATCAAACAGTGATCTATTTCAAATTCCACTGTATCAGCCCCAGATGAGAGTTTACAAAAAGATAGATCCAAAGAACCAGACTATTTACAAGTTTCCTGCTTTTCTAATAAAATCTCTTATCTGATAACATATTTGGTTGTAGTGGAACGCCCATATTTTCAAGGGCATCTATCTTCCCTTACACTAGTGGAATGCCCATATTTTCAAGGACATCTATCTTCCCTTGCACTAGTTATGGAACAGAATTATGTTTATAGCCACTCTCAGCTCAACATCAACCTCCCATTTATCCGAAACTAGTTGGGGTCAGCAATCGATGAACCCAAATAAAAACAAGAAAAGATTAAGGGAACATAAAAATAAATAAGAGAGAGATAATAAATACGGGACAAAAAAAATGGGGAAAAGGTAAATAAGAGAGAGAGATAAATAAATATGGGACAAAAAGACAAAAAAGGGACATCTAAAACATAGAAAAAAGGGCTCAACCCCTCCACAATGCTAATAGTTTTCCTTCACTCTGTCCTAAGACAAACCATATACCAATCTATTTCTTATTCCATCAAGTTTTGTTTTACTACTTTTCGCCAAGTGAGTTTCAAATGACCTCTTCCTCTTTTTGTATCATGCTCTTGGTAAAACTTTTTTTCTTACAGGAGCATCTAGGAATCTTCAAATAATATATCCAAACTATCTCAATCTCTATTCTCTCATCTTTTCAGCCACCGGTACTACTCTTATTTTTCGTCGAATATCTTCATTTCTTATTTTATTCTTCCTTCTATGACTACACATCCACCTTAACATCCTCATTTCCTTCACTCATTTTATGCTCATGTTACTTATGTGCTTGCCAACATTCAACTCCATATAACATTGCAGACCTTACCGTTCTATAAAATTTTCCTTTTACGCATCATTTCATCCATCTTGCTATGATTCAATGATTTACATCTTTATAAATCTCTCCTCCTTTCGTAATATTGATCTCAAATATCTAAAATTATATTTCTTGCGTACCTTTTATCCTAGCATATGCATGAAATCTTGATCTGAACCTATCGCCGTAACAAACTCATACTTCATGTATTCAGTCTTACTCCAACTTAATGTAAATCCTTTAAACTCCATTGTGCTTCTCCATAATTTTAATTTATTATTAAAAGTAGCCCTAGTCTCATCAACAAGCACAATATTATTTGCAAATAGCATACACCATGGCATCTCGCCTTGGATATCTTTTGTTATCTCATCTATAACTAGGGCAAAAGATAAGGACTCAAACTAGAACCATGGTGTAAACCTCCTAAGATAGGAAAATAACTTGACGTTCCATTACAAGCCTTCACACATGTAGAAACACCATCATACATATCTTGATTGCCTCTACATACTTCAACTGTATTTTTTTCTTATCAAGAACCTACCATAGAACCTTTCTTGGAACTCTATCATATGCCTTGTAGAGATCAACAAACACCATATGTAGGCCCTTCTTGTATCAATATCTTTCCATCAATTGTCACATCAAGAAAACAACCTCCATGCTAGATCTTTTAAACATACATCCAAATTGATTTACAAAGAACTTAGTCTCTATTCTCAAGTGATGATCAATAATTCTCTGCCACAACTTCATAGTATGACTTATAAACTTAAATGTCTCTATAGTTAGAACAATTTTGGATATCTAAATAGAGACACCATCATACATATCTTGATTGCCTCTACATACTTCAACTGTATTTTTTTCTTATCAAGAACCTACCATAGAACCTTTCTTGGAACTCTGTCACATGCCTTGTAGAGATCAACAAACACCATATGTAGGCCCTTCTTGTATCAATATCTTTCCATCAATTGTCACATCAAGAAAACAACCTCCATGCTAGATCTTTTAAACATACATCCAAATTGATTTGCAAAGAACTTAGTCTCTATTCTCAAGTGATGATCAATAATTCTCCGCCACAACTTCATAGTATGACTTATAAACTTAAATGTCTCTATAGTTAGAACAATTTTGGATATCTAAATAGGCATGAGCATACTCTTCCTCCGTTTATGAGACATCTTATTAGTTTGAAAAATTTTAATAAAAGATTTGCCAACCAAATATCCATTTTAAATAAGCACGGAGAATAGACATTTATTGCATTTTTTAGCCTCTTTGGCTCTCTATTATCTTTTGCTTTTCTGCTTTAGAGGATATCTTATCTTCCCCAGATGTGTTTTCCTTATATCTCTAACATATTATGTTATCTAAAACTAAAGTACTTGTCAGTATGTTATTGCTGATATAAAGGAACGAAAATCATTCTAAAAATATTCATAAAACTTACTACAATGAACATCATTATCATTCAAGAAAGAAACATTAAAAAATCAGTCATCTGTTTAAGGTTCAGGAGGTCAAAATGGAATTTGAAAAAGCAATAAAAGCAAAGATGAATCCATAAATAAATCCAAAAGCATCTCAAACAATTTTAACATCAGAGTCAAAAAAAGTTATATTAAAGCTCTCCTTTGCTTACAGTTAGTGCAAGAAGTTGAGCTTTTGAATTTTTACTTCCAATCCGCTTCTTTATACCTTTAACGACGTCCTTTGCTTGCCTAAAAATCGTAACAAAATTGATTTCTCAATATATTGAAGTATAAACCAAGAGCAAAACTCAAACATTATACATCAAATATTCAAATTCCAGTTAAACACTTCTATCCAAAAATAATAATAACAATAATCCAGCTGCAAACTGTATAAACACAGAATCTTGTAGAAACACCAGAGATGTATATATTCAGATACACCACCCCGATCTCTCAAACAAAATATAGAAATCACTCAGAATATACTTCAAAACGTAGGAAATGTATATATTCCAATTCCAATATGAAAGGTCCAAATTTTGAAATGTTAAAAAAATAAGTGTCTAAATTCTGAAACCATAACAAAGCGGGCACAGCATAAACGCATACGCGTGAGTCACACACAAATTGGCAGAACCCAAGTAGCCATCTGACATCACTGATTGGTAAATTCAAAAAGTTTCACAAAAAATCAACGACACAAAAGCACTCAATCTCACGAATTTTGAAGCGCACATTATATGGTATACGGTTACGATTAGTATACATCCCAAGTCATTCAGAGATTTTCGTATTCCATTCCAGTCGATCGGAATTTCAGCCTCAAACTTTTCGTTCGTAATTTTTCCCCGAAAACCACAAAAAAAAAGAGAGCAAAAATTATCGATCAAACCAACCACCAAAAACAAAACACACACACACAAACGAAAAAGAGAAGATTCGCGCAAAGAAGAACGGTGTGTTTTGGATGGCGTACCCAGGGTCATGATTGAGCATGTCACAGATCTCAATATTCATGGCCCAATCGGGCCCGATGAGCATGTCGCTCGTGGCGCGTTCAACCAAGGAATTCACCATCTCCGGTCACCAAAACGACGACGATTCGAAACGGAATAAGATCGGCGATATTCCGACGACCATAAACCGAACTACCGGTGCGATCGGAGAACGATTCCGGCGATATCGCAGGAAATACACCAGCTTATTTCTCACACTCTCTTTCTCTCTCTGTTCTACGAACGAAGATGATTGCTAGTTTGGTGAATTCCGTTGGGGGTTAGAATTGGAACTTTGAAATAGAGAAAAGCAAAATTGTACCTATAAGAACGTGCCACGTGTCAATAGAGTTGTGATTCTCACCTGATACCGTTGCTTTTGCCGACCACTTTTGATCACGATCGTTGACCTGATGTACCATGCCCCAGCCTACTAAACCCACCTTGTTTAGTTGCATTGCGTTACACCTCGGAAAAATGGATTTACATGCTCATCTAGTCACTAATCCACCAAAATTATTTAGCATATCGAAATTATTTTCACGTATCTTTATGAAGAAAAAAAAAATACTTAATCTTAAACAATGTAAAAACAATAATTATTTAAAGAAACGGTTCATTATAATTTATTTTAAGGGATTGTTTGTGTTATATTACATGACAAAAAAAAACAATGGAAGAGAGACGAGAGAATAAGGGAGAGAAAAAAAAAAATTAACTGAGTTCCATATAAGATTTGTGTCTGCTGAAAGATTTTTTTTTTACCTAACATAAGAAAAATAATTTCTTTTGTTTTATTTAAATGCAAACCAAAATAATAATAATAATAAGAGAAAGATTATACTTATAACTTTTTTTTACAATCTCTTACAACCATATCTTAACACCGTTGATTTCTGTCAATCAACGACTATGATTTATTGTGAATTAATAATTAATTAATGAGTTTAATTTGAGAAAATCATAACTGTTGATTGGCGGAAATCAATGGTGTTAAGATATGGTTGTAAAAGGTTGTAAAAAAAAGTTGTAAGTATAACCTTCTTCCAATAATAAATATCAATAAATGATTACCAAAAAAAATATCAATAAATAATTATGTTTTGTCCACCAAAAAAATAATAATTATGTTTTAGAGTTATTTTAATTTAAATTTGAGTAAATACATCTTTTAACTAAAAAAATATTTCAAAATTTAAATAATAAGCAGATAATTTAAAAAAAAAATAGTTTGATTGTTTTTCTCAAAAATTAGAAAATTCATCTTATAGAAGTTATCAAAAGAAAAAACTATATCATTAAATCGTTTTTAAAAGCTAAAAAATTGGGGTGCTAGTCTTTAGAATTATTATTTTTAATTCACGGTTTATCTCTTAAAAAGAACTAATACGATAAGTTTTGTAAATTTAAGGACTAATTTGTATATATAAAAAATGAGTTCGCTTTTTCTGCAGTTAATGTAGATAAGTTATCTATATTGAGACCAAAACGACGTCGTTTCTGGACAGAAATCAAGGTATTTTTGTAATTTAATTTATTTTAGAATTATAATAGTCTTTCTCATTATAATTTTTTAATTTTTCAATCCAAAACGACGTCGTTTTGGGAGCAAATGTAGATAATTTATCTACATTTATTGTAGAAATATTAAAGCCATAAAAAAAATTCAAGATTTAACCTGCAAGTGTAGGATAATTCTAAAGAATAATTATTTGGAAATTTCTTCTCAATTTTATTTATATTTAATATCATTTATTGTTATTATACATTCAGTGATCGAATAAATGACGACACAATAATACATTATAGTTATTTGTAAATTTCTTTTTTTTTAATACAAGTTATTTATAAATTACTTCTTAATATTTTTCCTGAACTTTAAGAATACGCTATCGGACTTTTTCCTTTTCGGTAGCCATATGCCATCATCGGACTTTATTTCTAAATGTTAGCAATTTATTATAAACAAATAATCACTTAACAAAAAGAAAATAATTGTTTATTAATGAACAATGGTCATTCAAATTTCATCTTTATGAATTTATTATAACTTTAAAAATGTTATATGTTCGGTGAAAATAAGTAACCGGTCCAAAAAATAATAACAATCATTCACAACTTTCATCATAAGTCATTTCTTATGACATTTCTTCTTAACTGTCATTGATGATAATTTCCTTTATTTAGATTTCAATATAAAATTAGTATTTCTAAAAAGTGATTAGAAAATTTGCATTAATTCTTATTCCTCTTAACAAATTTTGCATTAATTCATATTTGATCTATATAACATGTTTATTTATTACTAAAAATATATTAAATGAGTTATATATATGAGCTTTGTAAGGTCTGGACGGGGTATTGATGCTGAATTTCTACTTAAAGTGGCTGATTTATTGTAACTAGGGGTATAAATAGGTTAGGCTAGGTTAGGCTTTGATTTAAATAGGCCAGGTCTGTGTGAAAAAACTTACGTCTGGCCTGCAGGCCTTAAATTACAAGTCTGGTCTGACCTATATTTAAAAATTAAAAGCCTTGACCTAGACCTGTTGACCTGTTTAAGCGTATTAAACATTCAACAATTAAAAAAATAACTAAAATGATATTACTTTATTATTCAAAATTATTAAAATAATAATTTTATTTATTTTATTTAAAATAAATAATATGATATAGGTCGGCCTATATAGGCTTATAGGCCCGACATGTACAAAAAAGTCTATAGTCTGCTTTCTAAATGACTTTTTTTAAAAGTTTAGGCCTGTTCTATTTGACTATTTGTAATATGTTAAGTCTGACCTAATATAGACTAGGTCGTAGGTCCTTATAGACCGATATAGCCCATTTATACCCCTAATGGTGACTGATGACAGCTCCTTCTTATAGGTGGTGGTGCCATAGTGCACCTGGAGGCTGGAAGGACTCTTATATGAATGAGAGTGAAAAACAGAAAATTAGAGACACATATTCTTTTGGAAGTGAATCTTTTCATATTAAAATTTTAAATGATTTAGTCGTATAAAAAAAATTTGTTTATCTCTCATCACATATATTAAAGGGAAAAGTGTTTGTCATCTTAAATAATACAACTTGTGTCATTTCACTCTCACAAAGAGGTGGGACTCACACCTTTATATTTTTTTGTCCACTCTCTCTCTCTCATCATTTATCTATCTCTTTCTTTCACTTAAAATGGCACAACTTTACATCCTTTAAAATGATACACACTTTTCTCTATATTAATATGTAAAGAACCTTGGGATACACCACCCCAAAAGCTAGCTCAAAGGGAGGGAGTGCCCAAGACCTTATAAACTCCACATTAGTTGCACATACAATCAATGTGAGACTGTATATCTCAACACGCCCCCTCACACAAGAGCTCATTGGGCTTGAAGAGTGGACAATGCAACAGGCCCAGCCTACCTGTGCTAAGAAACGCCACAAGAGAAAGTGGGGGACGGTGAGTCTCTGATACCATGTAAAGAACCTTAAGATACACCACCCCAAAAGCTAGCTCTAAGGGTGAGAGTGCCCAAGGTCTTATAAACTCCACATTAGTTGCATATACAACCAATGTGGGACTACATATCTCAACACGCCCCCTCACACGAGAGCCCATTGGGCTTGAAGAGTGGACAATGCAACAGGCCCAACCTACCTGTGCTAAGAAACGCCACAAGAGAAAGTTGGGGGCGGCGAGATTCTGATACTATGTAAATAAGTCGGTTGAGACCTTTCATTGTGATGTTTGTGAATTTGCAAAACACCATCGAGTGTCATTTCCTTCTAGCACTATTAAAAGCAGGGAACCTTTTTCTCTTATCCATTCTGATGTTTGGGGCCCTTCTAAAGTGCACAGTGTTTCAGGTGCAAGGTGGTTTGTTTCTTTTATTGACGATTGTACTCGGGTAACATGGATATACTTGATGAAAGACAAGTCTGAAGTACCAGAGATATTTATTCGGTTTCATCACATGGTTGAGACTCAGTTTGGTAAGGGTATTAAAAGACTCAGATCTGATAATGGTACTGAGTACGTCAATCAACGCCTGTCACAATTCATTTCAGACAGAGGTATGATTCATGAGCTCACATATGTTGATACCCCTCAACAAAATGGGGTTGCTGAAAGGAAAAATCGTCACCTTCTTGAAGTTTCTAGAGCACTACTTTTCCAGACATCTATTCCTAGTTCTTATTGGGGAGAAGCAGTGTTAGCTGCAACTTTTTTGATCAACCGTTTACCTTCACGGGTCCTTAACAATATCAGTCCTTTTCATTCCATGACTTCCTTCTTTCCTTCTGTTCTCATATTGCAGGGCCTTCCACCAAGAGTGTTTGGATGTGTTGCCTTTGTCCATGATCATAAACAACATCGGAATAAGTTGGATCCTAGGGCTCTTATGTGTGTCTTCCTTGGTTATACCCCTTATAAAAAAGGGTACAAGTGTTATCATCCACCAAGTCGAAATTTTTTTGTTTCTATGGATGTCACCTTTCAAGAATCTAAATCTTATTTCCTGGGTCCTCATCGTCAGGGGGAGAATAGTTCTTCAGAAGACTCGTCCCCTTCCTTCTTTGAGCCTGGATCAGTCTTCTCTCTACCTAGTGTATCTGCTCCTGGTGTGTCAGAACCTTCAAATACACCTGAGATACGGAAAATTTTCACACCTAAATTGGTATATCAGAGAAGGAAACAACCTATACTGTCTCACCAGCAACCTCAATCGTCTGAACCACTGGTAAGTCCTGAATCTCCTGTTTCTTCTGAGTCTCATGTTTCTCCTGAATCTCATATTTCTGATCATGATGTTAATACTTCTGATGAGTTACCCATTAATGTTGATTCTGATGATTTGCCCATTGCTCTTAGAAAAGGAAAAAGATCTTGTCACAAGAAAATTTGTTCCTCATGTCCCTCTTGTACTCAATACCCTATCTCCCACTTTGTTTCCTCTGCTAATCTTTCTGTGCAACACAAAAGCTTTGTTTCAGCACTAGATTCTATTACAATCCCAAAATCAGTACATGAAGCCTTGAAAGATGGAAATTGGGCTCAAACCATGCAAGAGGAGATGAATGCGTTGGAGAAAAATAAAACATGGGAGGTTATTGATAGACCCAACAGAAAGAAAGCAGTAGGGTGTAGATGAGTTTATGCCCTGAAATATAATTCTGATGGCACTCTTGAGAGATACAAGGCTCGATTAGTCGCCAAATGTTACACTCAAACCTATGGCATTGATTATGAAGAAACCTTTGCTCCAGTTGCAAAAATGAATACGGTGAGAATCTTGTTATCCCTTGCTACCCATTACAATTGGGATATAAATCAATTTGATGTGAAAAATATTTTCCTCAATAGTGAGTTAGAAGAAGAAGTCTACATGGAAATCCTGCCTGGTTTTGATTTTGTGAAGGGGGAAAATAAAGTTTGTAGAGTAAAAAATGCCTTGTATGGATTGAAGTAGCCACCTCGTGCTTGGTTTGGAAGGTTTACTAAGGTTATGATGACATTAGGATACAGACAGAGTCAAGGAGATCACACTCTTTTCTTCAAGCACTCCCAAAATGGGAAGCTTACTGTACTCCTTGTATATGTTGATGATATTATTATCACAGGTGATGATTTTATGGAGAGACAGATTCTGCAGACACGGCTTGCCTCTGAGTTCGAAGTCAAAGACCTTGGGAAATTGAGATATTTCCTAGGGATAGAAGTAGCTCATTCAAGCAAAGGAATTTTTATCAGTCAGGGGAAATTTGTTTTGGATCTTCTCAAAGAAGCAGGAAAGCTCGGGTGTAAACCCTCTAATACTCCTATTGAGCAGAATCACAAGATAGGCTTTGAAGAGGAGAGTCCTCCAGTTGATAAAGGACAATATCAACGGCTAGTTGGAAAAATGATATATCTGGCCCATACTAGACCAGACTTAGCTTATGCTATTAGTGTTGTCAGTCAGTTTATGCATGATCCAAAGGAGAAACACATGCAAGCAGTGGAGAGAATTCTTCAGTATCTTAAAGCTACTCCTAGTAAAGGACTGTTATTCCGGCGAGATGGCAATCTCTCTTTAGAAGTCTACACTAATGCTGATTATGTTGGATCTGTGACGGACCGTCGTTCTACCACTGGTTATTGTATGTTTCTTTGTGGTAACTTGGTGACATGGAGAAGTAAGAAACAAGATGTGGTTGCCAGATCAAGTGCAGAGGCTGAATTTCGAGCCATGGCTCAAGGCATTTGTGAGTTACTATGGCTGAAAATTATACTTGATGATCTCGAAATAAAATGTGAGGGACCAATGGAGTTGCTATGTGATAATAAGTCAGCTATTTGTATAGCTCATAATTCCGTTCAACATGATCGGACTAAACATATTGAGGGCGACCGCCATTTCATCAAAGAGAAACTTGATAGCGGGTTGATTACCACACCGTACATTCCCACCGGGCGTCAATTAGCTGATGCATTGACAAAGAGGCTTCCTTCAGATAGATTTCAAGAGCTTACTAGCAAGCTGAGAATGATAAATATCTATTCCTCAGCTTGAGGGGGAGTGTTGTAAATATTAATATTATTTATTTATTTATTATTTGTTGTATTGGGCTTAGCCCATTAGGTCAAGTAAGAAATAAGATGTGGTTGCCAGATCAAGTGCAGAGGCTGAATTTCGAGCCATGGCTCAAGGCATTTGTGAGTTACTATGGCTGAAAATTATACTTGATGATCTCGAAATAAAATGTGAGGGACCAATGAAGTTGCTATGTGATAATAAGTCAGCTATTTGTATAGCTCATAATTCGGTTCAACATGATCGGACTAAACATATTGAGGTCGACCGCCATTTCATCAAAGAGAAACTTGATAGCGGGTTGATTACCACACCGTACATTCCCACCGGGCGTCAATTAGCTGATGCAATGACAAAGAGGCTTCCTTCAGATAGATTTCGAGAGCTTACTAGCAAGCTGAGAATGATAAATATTTATTCCTCAGCTTGAGGGGGAGTGTTGTAAATATTAATATTATTTATTTATTATTTGTTTTCTATAATATATCAGAATACCCTTTTTCAAGTTGGTATCAGAGCCTCGCTCCCCCCCACCACAAGAGAAAGTGGGGGCTACGAAGCTTTGATACCATGTAAAGAACCTTGAGATACACCACCCCAAAAGCTAGCTCAAAGGGTGGGAGTGCCCAAGACCTTATAAACTCCACATTAGTTGCACATACAACCAATGTGGGACTGTATATCTCAACATAATAATATGTGAAATTCAATTATCATAACCAAGTCATATAAAATTTTAATACGAGAGAATGGCCTGAAATTTTGTATTTAAAGGAGTGTCAAGCCATAGAATATGTACTTGTGATCCCATCCCAAGATGATGGAACGTCAGTCTCGAAAGCTGATGGAATGTTCCAACGTAAACAAATGCCAATATATATTTTTTTTAGTACATTCAAATGCCAATATTTATCCAAAGCGTTTTGGTTGATACAATGGTGGCATTGGTTTTAAACACAAGACCTTACAGAGATTAGTGATGGAAAATCTTACAAGAGTGTAGAGTTTAGCACACTTTGTCTGTCATGATCTTTGAAGCTATTTTTTCCCCTCTTCATTCCCTTAATTAGATCTTATTTTGTCAAATGGCTTTTACCTAACAGAATCATTATACATAGATTCAAGTGTTTAATAAACTTCCATAAACTAAAGACCGGTGCATGAGACATGAGACAACAGAAAGATATTTGAAAGCTAAGCTCCCTCGAACACAGATTATTACATCATTGCAAGCTTTACAAACCAACGAGCAATGAAGTTATTAGGCATCCCTGTTGGAGTAGGGGTTTTGAGGATCACAACTACTGATGAATCTTCATCGTAAAATGTAGACAAGGGAATAAAGTTGGATCAATAAGGAACAGGTATACGAACACTAGGGGGCCCTGATTTCATGTCCTCAACAAGCAGATTCAAGAGAGCCCGTGCTATAGGGCCTTCTTTGCCTGCAATGAATGCATAACGAAATCAATCAGCTCATCATGAAAAGGTAAGGTAAAGACCATTCAATCTGCAAGAGAGCCCATGTTAAAAGGCCTTACATACCTACAAGAAATGCATAATGAAAGTATTCAACTCATAAAAACACAAGCAACATGGAATCTGTTAATGTAGTATGGCATGTGAATAGATATCGACCAAACAATAAACGGTGATCATTCTTGATAAAGGTTTAAGCCACTAAGGACTAAGAACCAAATTTATAATATTTTTGGAGATAGACTCTCCTGTGTAGAGAAATCAAAGTAAAAATGCATAAAGGAGGATTCTGTAGCATGATCAAACTGACAACACGACCCAAATATGAGGCCAAGAAAACTTGACAGGTTTTACCTATATAGAAAACAGAATCCTATACTTACCATTACTATCAGCAGCTCAACAAACCAGTAGTAAAATGAACAATGTCTGCTTAAAAGATAATCTAGCAAGAAAGAATAAGCACTTAACTTGCAATATAAAGGAAATACAATAACAAGCCACAAAAAGAATACATCCATCTAAGCTTCTGTAAGAAATATCTGTGAATTTGGTCAACTCAAGCCTTAAAGAACCTATACCAATTAGTAAGAAATTGAAATGCTAAGAATTTAATTGGGTGCATATATTAAATCATATCATTCTTTGCTGGAAGTAGTAAAAGTACTCACCATCTCCAATAACCTGCTCATCCCACTGCACTACAGGACAAACAAGTACTCCACTGCCAATAAGCATCATTTCATCTGCTATCTTCCCTTCCTCGACGGTCAAATTTTTCATGCTTATCCCATGAAGCTTACCCTCCCTCAACAAACACTCAGCAAGGGTTAAAACTCTCTTAGCTGTGCAGCCACTTAGAATTTTGTCAAAGTGAGGCATTATAAGTTCCTTCTCTTTAGTGACAAAAGCCACATTCATATTAGGCCCTTCAGCAACAAAACCTTCACTATCAACCCAAATGCCTGCAAAAGCACCAGCTTCTTCAGCTTCCATCTTTGAGAGCACATTTGGAAGGTAATTCACACTCTTAGTGGTTGCAAACTGGGGGTGTTTAATGGGGATAGATGAAGTAACAACTTTAACACCCCTGGAATTAAGTGGTGTTGGTGACAGATCCTGTATCACAATTGCATAAAGACCTGACTGGTGGCAGCCAGAGGGAGATAGCTGAAAATCACCAGGTCCTGCTGACAGCCAATACCTTAGTGATCCTTTTCTACAGTTGGAAGCACTTACAGTTTGTATGAGTATTCTCCGTATGCTCTCACGATCAAATGGGGGATCTATTTTAGACATGGATGCTGACCTTAAAAAGCGATCAAGGTGTTGATCTAGCTCATATAGGTATCTATAATGCACAAAATACATCATTTTGACATCTTTAAAAAGTATAAAACATAAGTATAGGTATAGGTAAAGACAAGACACTTATTTAATACGTAGTAAACACTAAACAATCATACTTGATAACCTTGTTTATAGAGTTGTCATTCTTTCTCCTATTTTAGAGAGTGGGAATGAGCACAAGGGGAGTAAGTGAACATTTTTTGTTTGCAAGCTCAATTTTTTTGGAACCAAATAAAGGCAAATAGAATTGGTAAGACCACCCATTACAAAGAATCCACATACAAAATAGGAAGATCCTACTTTTAACCTCTAAATATTACCTAAGTGAAGTTCTCATGTTCAATACATAATGAAAGAGTAATTAACATTATGAAGTGGAAAACACTAACCCATCCATTATTGCTGCTGTATCAAAGACCCCATGGCCCCTATGGACCATGTGGTCATCCATAGGAATAACCATAGCAACTGGGTCTGTTGTTATCCCACCAAAAATACTAGAATACATGGCAAGGAATTGCTGCTTGCCCTTTATCTTTTCTCTGAATGCTTTAAGCCTTTCATAGGCCTTACACATGCAAAAAAGAAAATAATAATAATAATAATTACAATTAGTAACAAGAGAGTTGAAATCAAAGTTATCAAATGCGGATTGCGGCATGTCCGATCAACCCCAAAAAACGCTATAACGTTATAGCGGCTTGAGGTTGCGGAAATAGCGAAATAGATATATGATAAAAAAAAATATTTTTTAAAGGCAGAAATAACAGAAGTGACAGGAAGAGACACAGATAGACTAAAAAACCCTTAAAATTTTCCTGTTACACTTTAAATTTAGGACAAAATTGACATTTTGTCTTATAACAACGATATGGCCGCAATTTGCAATTGCAACGGCCGTTGTTGCATTCCGATGCGGCGCGGTGCGGAGCGGTTTCTTGCGGTGAGGCACCGCAACGCCCATACGGCGCAGCTCGCGACACTATTGCGGCCCAATTAACTACTATGGTTGAAATTTAAAAATAATTATTTCCCTTTTTCTGATTCCCCTAAAAAAAATAACTATATTGGCAATAACTTACAATAGTTCCCAACCCAATGTGAAATGAAAAAGTCAAAAGTCAAAAGAAATGATGGACCTCAGAGCAAGACAAAAGTGGAACATGAGACACTTCTTCAGTTTTCGAATCTGCAATTTTGAAAGCACCGAATTAGTTTCCGGAATTCAATAATCATTAGCATAAAACGATGTGAAATTGACTTGGAAGTATAACTAAAAGTTCAAACATGATCCAGATTGGTTAGAATTTCTCAGAGCACTCAATTTGGTGATGGGACCCTGAAGATTGAAGCGGTAGCCATGTCCCACGAAGGAAAAACAGTGATCAACGAATTTGGAGGACAATAAATGTGGGTTTAGTGATAGGGGTTGTGGAAGGAACTGAACAGAAACCATTGCCTTTAAGGTGAGTAACAGACACTACTATGAAATTCAATCAAAGCCTGCTGGAGTGCTAGTTGACTTGGTTGGGCAAGTTTCTTTGTTTATGCTTCTAATCTAATAGGCAAAGGCAATGGCAAGCTTGGGTTGTTGGAAATATCATTTTACAAATATTTAAAGGGTTCGCTTTTTTTCATGTCACAAGACAAGATCATTTTCCTGCACACACAAATTAAGTGAGGGTCCCACGCTTAAAAAAAAAAGTCAAACCAAAATTAGGATACGGCGCCGTATCCTCAAGATACGTTGCCAGATCCTTGTTGCAGGAATGAACAGTGTCATTCCTGCAACATGATTCTTATATTTTCCATATTTAAAATTGTTTGTTTACAAATTCTTATAAATTATGTCTGATCGGTCGTACTTTAATTAATAAATAGTGTATGACCAGACTTGTAAAAAAAATTTGTAAACGAATCTTTACCCTTATTTTTATAAGTGAATATAGGTGGGTTATATTTTTTTTTTTTTAAGGAAAATACTAATATCACGTTGCAGTACACTAATATCTCATCATATACACCAAACATATAAGGCCCTACAAATATTTGTGTCTATTACATGATATATTAGTCTCCCACGAGGCTACAACATAAGACTAATAATTTTCTTTTTTTAACAATAATTTTTATTATTTTATATCAAAATAAAATTATTTGTATCGGTCGTAAATTAATAAATAGTGTATGACGAATCTTTACCCTTATTTTTATAAGTGAATATAGGTGGGTTATATTTTTTTTTTTTTAAGGAAAATACTTATAATTGTTAATTTAATTTTAATTAAACGATAACAAAATAATTATAAGAAAGTATAAAGAAAAAGAGATTGTGAGGATAATATTCCTCTTTGTTTAACCTTCATAGTTTTTGTTTATATGAATTAATTTGTAAGTTATTCATAAAATCATTTTATTAAATTTATGAATAACTTTTTTCTTTAGAGAATATTTTGATTATAAATCTTTTTTAAAGCTACTGATTAAAGTATGTATTAAATATCCATTTATTAAATAAAAAAACTTATTATTATAATTATTGAAGCATGTAGCATTCATGATTAGCTAGCTAATTAATCATTAATTCTGCTTAGGTGTTTAAAGCAAATGTTCCTATCAAATTTTAAGGGTACTCAGAATCCAAACTTGATCAGATTCTAAACTTAAGATTACTGATTAAATTGGAATAGCCCCACCAATTGATATTGATGGTAGTATCAAACCAAAATTTTCAGTACCTTGTATTATACCATTGTTGTTTGTAGTGTACCATCAAACCAGCTTTAGCTGACAGAATACGGATGAACATTAATGTTGAATTTATGGACACATTCAACATGTTTTTTAATGTTTAATGAAATAAAAAAAAAATGTTGAAAGTTGGTTGCATTTATGGGCCAGTTTGGAGGAGGATTTTTTTTGTTTTCAACATGTTTTTTTTTTTAATGTTTAATGTGTGTAAATTTTTTTGAAAAAAAAAATGTTTTCTATGACAAGAAAAATTTAATACAACTAAACATAGTTGGTTGCATTTATATGTATATTGCATTGCCAGTTTTTGTCATTTTCTGCTGGAAACTTATGATTCATTCTGCTCTACCAAACGCGCCCTATATGTATATTGCATTGCCAGTTTTTGTCATTTTCTGCTGTCTAACTTAACATTCAACTCTGCACTGTGCAGTCACCAACCCCTTCTGTCACACTAACACAAAACTTGAGCATTTCTTAGCCACCACCACCAAAACTTCAATGTTACATTTATAAAAGAAGCACTGATGTAGCTGTGGCTTCACTTCACTTTATATTTTGTACTGCACAACAGTGCCGGAACTTTTAGTAATTCTAGATAGAGAAGGATCCGTTTACAAATTTCTTTTACAAATTACACTAAGAATGACCGGTCAAACACTTTTGATTGAAGTATGACCGGTCATACTTAGTGTAGTTTGTAAAAGTTTGTGAACAAAAAGGTTTGTAAATATAATCTTCCCCATTCTAAATATGTTTATGAGAAATATTACTCTCCTTTTACATAAGATAACTTCTCTCATGTTCTCTCACTTCGATTTTCGCACCCTACTTTTTTCTTTTTTCTTGTAATTGTGGGAGCCACCCATTTTCTCTCTGCAACATAAGATAACTATCTTATGTGAAAGGAGACTAATAAATCCCTATCTTTATCTTCTTGTTTCCCACTTCAGTTTACAGAATAATAATTATGATCAATGGTAGATTTCACTGTGCAGTTTCTGATGGTAGTGATTTCAGATTTAAGAGTTCATTTGACTATGCTAGTATATCTGAGAACTTAAAGAAATTTCGTTTTATTAAAATAATTAGGAGTGATAATTATTTTCTGTATTCTCATAGTTTCCTGTTGCATTTTCTAACCAAATTGGTGACTTTTCTGTTACACAGGTTTGTAGACACATGTCTAGCTGTAGGAATTGCTCTAAGCTTAGCCACAATCTGTGGCTACACAGTTGCCAACTGTTTCAGCAATAACATTCTTTGCATAGTATCCTTTCAAAAAGATTTGTTAATAGGAGCTTCCTAATTCCAATTTACTTTGTATAAAGTTTTGCATAATTTATTCCTTGATATTTTTCAGTACATTGCTTTCATGTGGTGTTTTCTTTTCCTGGAAGTTGTGGTGATTGTCAATATATACTTCAGGATGGACTGGCTAGCGGTATGCATTTATTTCACAAGATTACGATATATACAATGGTGTGTTTTCCACAATAACGTAATAGGAATTGAGAAATTGACTTTGAAGTAAAACTTAACCAAATAGATCCCTAAATAATTACTAGAACTACTTATCTCAATGAGATGAAGCACTAAGGCTTATCTTGAACATGACATATTGTTTTTAAAAAGGAGTTAATGTTGCTTAGGAGAAAATGACAATTTAGGAAAAAGGATGAGAGAGTATAGCTATAAAAAAAGTCTAATGTATTTCATTCATGTACATATTTTTTTTTTCTGATTATCTTTTTATTTAACTTTTATCTTATTTGGCAGAAAATCAATAAGTACATCGGTGAGAATCAGTCAGAATTCAAGAGTTTTATTCTATTCCACTTGATGATGAGTCGCATTATTCTCATTTTATCTTTAGTACCACAGGTAATATTATAGTATATATTACAGAGTTACCAGAATTGTGTAAAAAGTTTTAATATTCTGATTGAGTTGAACTGTTAACATATGATATTTTATTACCAGAATTGTCAAAATTGCCAAAGTTGTGTGAAAAAAGATTGTGACCACAGATACTAAGATGAGGAGGGGATGCTAATACTCCATGATTTGATGACACTTCCAATACAAATAATTAGCAATCAGCTTTTCAGATAATTGTAATATCCCATATCCCTATATCCTACATCAGAACTAAACTAGAGTAAACTATGCTATATAAGCGACTGAAAAAAAGTCCTTGTTAAAACATTGATAAGTAGTTTTGGTACTATGTAAATGAGTTAAATCTCTCTCGTATTTTATGAGATAATTTTTATCTCCTATATATACATAAAAGTATGGGATATGTTATTCTACCCACCATTTTTTCTGTCTACCTTTGCCTATCACCCTTCATCACCATTAGATCAAAATCCCATTTACATTTTTCATTTCTCTCTCCTATTGAAATTCTGATCTAACGGTATTGAAGGATGGTAGGCAAAGGTAAACAGAAAAAATGATAGGTAGAATAACATATCTCTAAAAGTATATGTGATTTTTTTTTCTCTCTCCTCTCTTCACATTGTCCCATACATTTTGATACATGTGTAGGAAATAATTTTTATCTCCTGCTACGTGAGAAACATCTAGTCCTGTGTAAATATTTCCTCTCACTTTTCTTTTTTAAGATGTTGGCATGTGTTTCATCTTAAGGGATCAATATTAATATGGGTTCTGTGGTTCTGCGGTGTATGAGGGAGACATGGCAGATTTTTGTGCATTATGGAAACAGGAGAGCCAAAAGGGATGTGGTGTGAGCACAATAATGGCTAAACCCATTTCTTATGATAGGAAGCAACCAATCCGAATCATTGCACTTCTTTTGGAAATGTAGAATTGATATTATTTTCTTTTTTTGGAAAATAGAATTGATATTTTCTCACTCTACAGGTAAGTGCAGTTGCTGTAGCGAACATTCTGCGGGTTGTAGGTATTGAGAGGATGTCTAGATACCATTTGGATGTGGCTAATTTCCATCAATCTTTTCTTGTGGTACCCGATTCATGTGAACCCGAGAACTCATAACATAGGTTGGACTATTAAAGTTTTCTTTATTTAAATTTATTTTATTTATTATTATTTGTTATGTAAAAATTTATTGTATTTTATTTTAATTTTTTTCAGTTTAGAATAAGAATACTTCAGTGAACAATCTGCCCTAAAGGAATTTTGTACCATTGATCCATTTTTTTACAGTTATAATTTAATAGCCAGAAATAAAGTTATTTCAAATAACTTGAAAAACGATATGCTATATATATATATAATATATATAGCAAAACTATGTTTTGGGATAGTTAAATTATGGAGCACTAACCAACTTGTTTATCATACATATCATTCATAAGTTTGACATTGATAACCATCAGTGTATTTTTTATTTTTTATTTTTTCTTTTTTGAGACCCAGATGCAAAAAGCAATAATGTGGTTACAGCTTTATATCAACTGCATGAAATTTAAAAATTGTCACAGATTAATTGTAATGTTTTTAATCAGATGGCTTCCTCTATGGTTCCTTGGGCAGTTAATTGGGTTAGTTAATGTATCAGATTGCTTGGTCATATCTTATAAGTCAATTACTCATTGATGATGATATGTTAAACAACAGTAGTTGTCCATCCTCCATAGTAAGAATATGCTCTGAGAGATTGGCCATTTAAAAGGCATTTCTACATTAATGCCCTTTCATCAATAATCGTGCATTAGCCAGTAGGCATTTCTACACTTGTGCCCATTTAAGCCTTTCCTCTGTTAAGCCTGTCCCCATAACTTTCAAATGTATCATCCAAACACACACTTACTGTATGGCTCCCATATTAAGCAGCAGCATGAAATGAAAGGGAAATTTTTTTATTTTAAATAACAATTAAGTCTGATCACTTTAGAAGCTTAAAAAAATAATAATAATCTTCAAAAAAAATAGCATACTATATATTTGAAATATACTTGAACATGAAGAGCAAACTAACAACTGGAGGTTTTAGCCATAGTTGACAATCAACTATCTACAACCCTTCAAATACGAAGAAGAGAGCTTGACAAGCTCATTGCCGAGGATTTGCTGTTAGCTTGGTGTTTCACATTCACTAAAGTCAAGTATGCGTCGCTCCATCTGCAAACCAAAAATTCCATTCAGCTATAAGATATTGGCAAAACTATAAAATGCAAGAATTCACCAGGGAAAAAAGGGAGAAAATTGAGGTTTATTTGGAATCATCATAAGTGCAGTTCAGTGGAAACTGCAGAAGAATACTCGTAAATGGATGGGATTGGAATTCTCTCATGTTACATGATCAGGAGAGAGACTCCAAACAAATCACTTCAAGTTTAATAAATAAAATACTGTGTCTTACTTTTGCCAACAGGAATTTGTCATGTACCATGAAAAGAACCAACTATATTTGCAAGGGAAAGTAAGGGAAGGAAGCATGGATGGAATTTACCAAAGCATTTGAAGAAAACAGAGAATGGTTCCCAGGCTGATTCGCAGGATCATTATTTTCCTGGTCCACATTTCCAGATGCATCTTTAGGTAACACCTTAGGAGTTTCATTTCCCAGGTGAATGGGAGGATCATTATTTTCCCTGTCCCTATCCTTGTCATTTCCGGATGCATCTTTTGGTAACGCCTTAGGAGTTTCATTTTCCAAAATCTCCTGAACATTGGCATATAAGGCAGCAGTTTGTTCATTGATCTCTTTCAACAACCCAAGCGCTTCAAAACTTATATCACCTGGGCTCATTAAATTTCCAAAATCCTGTAAACATGTTTACTGTTTTTTAGTAGGGTGAAAAAACTAAAATCTACTTCAAGATCAAGACAGTAGTTATCCAACAGTACCTCAATTCTAATTTCAGTATCAAGTCTGGGGCTAGACAGAAAAGTATTGATAAACCAAGGAGACTTCCATATCGGCGATTTCCATGCGGAAGGTGATTCAAAGCCTTTCCTAAAAGGTGTTCCACCAAATCTATAATAAAAAAAAGTAGGCAGTCAGAAACAGTGTGAGCATTGAGAAAACTAGTGAAAATTAAAACCGAACAAGTTTAACAAAGCACCAAACTTGAAAATAACAAAAAGCAGAAAAATGAATTTTCAGGTGCTGGTGCCGCACAAAGAGAAGCAATATCCAAGGAAGCAGCTTTTAAACAATTACCACTTACCAGTATTACTATTAACTAAGGTTTCAGTACCAAAATAATACAGCACAATCAACTACAAGCATCCAAAATAAAACAAATAATGAGAAATGGAAACTGACAGCAATAATAAAATGATAACCGTAATAACAAATTCAAAGAATATTACATGTTTTCAAAATCACCATCCTTTCTAGTTTGATCCCCCGAATTCTCCCCTGGAGCTTGTACACAAGCAACAGCAACTGAAAGTTTTTCATGCTCCTTCCCACGAACACAATGAGATTTAACCCTTGGGCATGTATTTTCAGAAGATAATTTCAGAGGGATGTTCTGGTTTGGGGCTGCTTCCAAGCTCCTATAGTTCAAGTTTTTGGGAGTTCTAGCACTTGAACCCAGAACTCTGTCTGATTTAAAACCAACATGATCAGGAGAAAGCAGAGACAGATCATTTATATCATGTTCAAACAAAACTCCAGAAGGTTGTTGCACCTGTTAAACAGAATAAAAGGATAGAAATGTAAGTTATCACCAGAGAGAGAGAGAGAGAGAGCGAAGTAAATATTCACAAATTCCAGATAACAACTGAAGAACATCACTTAGTACTTACAATCTCAGCAGCAGCATCAATCTTCATCTTAGAATCAACATCAAGAGGTTCCTGCTTAACCTTATCCTGAGAATTGTCAACAGTAACTCTTTGAGTTTTATTTTCTTCCAAAATTGCAGATTTAATTTTCTCCTCTACTTCTACCTCTTTAAAAACTTGTACCCTATTTTCTTTATCATCATCATCAACAGACGCACCAGAGTTCCATTTTTGTGATGAAGATGGACAAAGCATGTCTACTTCCTGAGTCTCATTGTCCTCAAACATGACAGCCAAACTGGAAAAACTTTTGGTCAAGGTGGATGTCATGTCAATCTCAAGTTTCTTGTCTATTCTTTTATCTGAGAGTGGCGATAACAAATCTCGGTGTCGTTTCTTTAATATTGATGGTGTACCCATAAAAGATTTAGCTGCATTTTTCAACAATGCATCTGGGCTATCATCACAAGAAGGTGAATCCCACAACTTGAAAGGAGTTAGACAGTTCATAGAAGAAGACATCGTAAACTGGCGGATACCCAGGGGACTAAATTCTTGTTGCATAATATCACCCCCAGATTGTACAAGATCACAGCTGAAGAAAGGAATATCCAAGCTTGGAAAACGGGGAGGTTCATAACATAGAGCTCCTATGTCCTTTTCTGTATGCACGTTTGGCTTTTCATCTGTTGGATAACAAGTTTGCTTAGCATCTGATCCACAGCCAAGCCCATTTACAGGGACCAAATCTGAAGTATCCTTCAGATTATCAGGTGGCTTTTGCATAACTGAACTGTCTATATCATCAATACAATGAGAACTGGATATGACATTGGCATAAGTGAAATTATCTGGTGCTTCAGAGACAAACTGCTGATCCTCAGGCCCAGGTAACTGATTGCCTTTGGCAGTATACACCAGCCTGCTGGAAGAAAGTACTGGAGGGACAGATTGGGAGGATGAAGTTCCTTTGAAATTATTAGAACACCGAGGACAAGTTAGCTGTAAAGTTGAGGTTCCACCAGTTTCAGATATCTGGATATCACATGATTGACAAAGAAATGAAGCACATCCAGAAAATTCAACCATATCTGCACATTTATTATAAACTCCAGGGGAAAAACATCCGTCATTCATTGCCTCTGAAAACATGACTCTGTAACATTCATCATCAGATATCAACATGTGCTCTGGTTTAACAGAATTCATAGATGTAGGTCTCATGGATGTTGAAACACTTAACCCTGCTGAAGTCTGAAAAGGAACATTCACCATGTCATGGATTTCATTAGGAGATATACAATCTCTTTGCAACTGCAAGGATTCCTGCCCCAAGTCCATTGATGAAATATTGGGTAAGGAATGTAAATTAAACTGGCAATCCTCACTTGTGGAATTTCCAGGTTCATGTGAGTATTGTCGCTCAATAAATTGAGAAGAGCAACCCTCTTGGCAAGCAATTTCTGGGATGCATAAAGAAACATCATCAAGCGATGCGTAATATGGCTCTGAACAGGATGATTGACTATGACTATGACTATGATCCTTTCCAAGACTACATTCTTCATTTGACCTATATTCCTCTGCAGTTTGTAAGTCAACATTGCTCTTCTCTCTAGCAGATGGATAGCAAATAGCATTTGCTGACTCTGAAACTTGGCTACACTCTGAAACTTCCTCTCCTTCAGTTCCCCCTTTAGGACCACTATCATCTCCACTGCACTGCAACCTCGAAGTTACCAGTTGATTCGGATTTCCAACATGAGGTATAGATTGGAACTGAGTAAGCAAGCCTGATGCCAAGTAAGAATCCAACTTTTTTTTGACAGAACTGTGCCAGTGGTTTTTAATAGCATTGTCAGTCCTGTTTCCAGAGGCACAAGTACATCAACTTTAGAAGCTTGTTGATAAAACAGAAGATTGAGAATGAACAAAAACTGCACATGGAAAAACCACACACACCGATGACAGAATTGGGATCCCCCACAGTTACTTTAGGGATCCTGTAGGAGACAAAAGGATGAGCTTATTGAAAAATTTTAATTAAAACCTCAGATTTTATTTAGTCTGTCTTTCTCATAACAGAACCAGTAGTTACTTTGGATATCCAAATTCCTGATGAAATTAGTCTTGAATTATTATTATGTTCACCCTTCTCAATGGAAAAATAATTTAATATGTAATTACCTTCCAGGTAAGAACTTCGTTAATTCTGCCCATCTGTTCCCATAAATCTGATGAGCGTGTATGAGAGCCAACTCTTCTTCCTGTGTCCATGCTTCCTTGTTTATAGCAGGATTAAGATGATTATGCCACCTAATAAGTTTTTACAAATTCTATTAATGAAAAATGAACATCAACCCTCGAAACATACTTCAAAAAGACAGACCGACCAATATGATTTATGGACGAGGCATGTTGAGAATTATAAGCTTAGGGTTAGGAAAGAAGGAAAAGAGAGAGAAATGGCTCAAGTTAATAAATTAAAAATATTAATGATAGATATAATGTGATACAAAAACAAAGCACTAACCTTTATTTATACTAGTATTGGAATCTTAATCAAATAAGGAAACAAATCATAAAATATAAAAAGGAGATAAATTGTTCATAGTAGTAAAGGAAGAAAAGAAAAAGAAATGGATTCAAGTTAATAAATTGAAAATATTATTGGTAGATATGATAATGTCATACAAAAACAAAGCACTAAACTTTATTTACACTAGTACTAGATCTTAATCAAATAAGGCTTTGTTTGGGAGTTTGGAGGGGAAAGAAAGGAAGGGGATCCAAGGGGGGAGGGAGGGGAAGGAAGGGAAGAAAATTGAAGGGTATTCCATTCACTTGTTTGGGAGTTAAAAAAATTGGTAAGGGAGAAAAATAGAGGGCTAATAAGTTATTTTTACCATTTTACCCCATTTTAAAAATTAATATAATTATTGTATTTTACAAATTAAATTAAATTTAAAATTTCTAACAAAATTATTTATGTACTTTTCACAATACTCAAAAAGATCATATTTTCGACGAAATTTCTACATTGCAAAAGATGAAAATTTCGTAACAAAATAATTTTTTCGACGAAATACTTTTCGTCGAAAAGCGAAGGAATTTTCTCTCTGATGAAATTTTTTACAAAAATACATTTTCTATCAAAATTTTCGACAAAATTTTCTCCTTCATCAAATGTTTTAAACGAAAAAAGAATTCCGTCAAAAATTTTGACGGAATATTTTCCGTTCAAAACTTTCGATGGAAATGTGTTCTGACAAAAACTTCGACAGAAATTGTTTTGTCAAAATTTTTGAGGGAAATGTTTCATTCGAAACTTTCAACGAAATTTAGATTCTGTAAAGAATTTTGACAGAATATTTTTTTCGTCAAAATTTTTATCAAAATATTTTTCGTCAAAATATTTTTTTAAGGAATATTTTTTTCGTCAAAATATTGCCATAAAAGAATTTCGTCAAAATTTTTTTTACGGAAATATTTTCTGTCGAAAATTTTTGATAAAAATGTGTTTCGTTGAAAATTTTGATGAAAATGTTTTTTATCAAAAAAACTTTACGGAAATATTTTCCGTCGAAAATTTTCGATGGAAATGTGTTTCGTTAAAAATTTCGACGGAAATTTATTTTGTCAAAAAGTTTAAAGAAAATGTTTCCGTCGAAAACTTTCGACAAAATTTATATTCTGTAAAGAATTTTGATGAATTTTTTTTTCGTAAGAAATTTTAGATGGAAATATTTTTCGTCAAAAAAGTCGATGAATATCTTTTATTGTGAAATATTTTGAGGGAAATGCATTGACGAAATTTTGATTCCATAAAGAATTTTGGCAAAAAAAATTTCCGTCAAATTTTTTTACAGAAGTGCTTTTAGTCAAAAAATTTGATGATGAAAATATTTTTCGTCGAAAATTTTTTGCGGAAAATTTTGATGGAAATGTTTTCCGTAAAAAATTGTGACGTAATTGTTTTACGTCAAAACTTTTCGTCAAAATTTTTGACAGAAATATTTTCTTTGAAAGTTTCGACGGAATTTAGATTTTATCAATAATTTTGACTGAATTTTTTTTTCCGTAAAAAATTTATGTCAATGATTATGGCAAGATTTGGTTCCGTCTCTAATTTCGTCTTTAGTTTTGACGAAATTTTTTTGACGAATATGATTTTCATCAAAAATTCCATCACTATTTTTGACGAAATATTTTTCCTCGATAAATTCTGTCGGTATTTGAGATTTTTCTAATAATGTCACATTTAAAAATGATTCACATTTATGTAGTTTTCACATTTTAATGCTAAAGGTAGATAGGTAATTTTTAAAATTTTCTCCCTCAAACCCCCAGATTGGGGGAACTTTAATTTTAAGAATGAGGGTTTTGGAAGGTTTAGTAAAAATTCCCAACTTCTTCCCCTCATTTTTTTAAACTCACAAACAAGGGAAAGGCTTATTAAAACCCTCCATTTCCTTTCCTTCCCCTCCTAAAATCATCTCCCAAACAAAGCCTAAGGAAACTGAATGAAGCAGTAAGATATCCCAAAAACAACTTTTAGGACTCGTGAAGGTCATTATGAGTGCTTGGTAATGTCATTTGGCTTAACCAATGCTTCCAATCATTAATGAATAAAGTATTAAAGCCATTTTTGAGGAGGTTTGCTATAGTATTCTTTGATGACATATTAATCTATTGTAAGAGGGAAGGAGAATACCTTGAACATCTCAGATTAGTGTTCAAACAATTGAAAGCTCATCAATTAGTAATCAACAAAAAGAAGTGCACTTTCGGTCAGCCCCAAATATAATATTTAGGACACATTGTTGCTGTAGATGGCATGAGGGCAGACCCAAAAAGTTAGAAGCTATGCTGAATTGGCCTGAACCGAAAGAGTTAGGAGGATTGAAAGGGTTTCTTGGACTCGCGGGATACTATAGAAAGTTTGTCAGAGATTATGGACAAAGAGCAAAACCTCTATTTACTAAAAAAGGAGAACATTTTTTGGAATGTTGAAGCACAAACTTCTTTCAATGCTTTGAAGCAAGCTATAGTGAACATACCTGTTTTGGCATTGCCAAATTTTAATGAAGAGTTTGTTGTGGAGACGAATGCTGGTGGGAAAGGGATTAGAGCTGTATTGATGCAAAAACAGAGACCAATAGCATTTCTAAGCCATGGATTCTCAGCAAGGGTACAAGCAAAGTCAATTTATGAAAAAGAGCTCATAGCTTTGGTGTTTGCTATACAAAAATAGAGACATTACTTATTAGGCACGTATTTTATTGTTAAGACTGACCAAAAGAGTTTAAAATTCCTCACTGACCAGCAGCTTCTGGGAAAATCAACAAAAATGGATGGCTAAATTAATGAGGTTTGACTTTGAAATTCAATATAGGCCAGGAAGGGAAAATAGAGCTGTGGATGTTATTTCAAGAAGGCTCCAGTTGGCTGCTATTTCCGGGTCGAATTGATGTATTTAAAAAAGTTTCAAGATGAGATACAACAAGACAAAAAAAAATATAAGGAAGTGATCCAAGGGCTGTTATTGAATTTTGATGCATATCCAGGTTTCAAGCTGGACACAAAGGAACTTATTTTACAAGGACAGACTGGTGTTGAGTCAATACTCTAAATGGATTCCCATCATCTTAAGAGAATTCCATGATTCTCCTAATGATGGGCATTCGGGTTACCTAAGTAATCTTAAGAGAATAGATGGGCTCTTCCATAGGGAGGGCATCAGAAGGACCATCCAGCATTATGTGGCCAGTTGAGAAGAAGACTACCAAAGGAGTAAAGTACAAATCCTTAGCCCCTGCTGGTCTATTGCAACCTTTGCTAGTCCATGATTCTCCTAATGATAGGCATTCGGGTTACCTAAGTAATCTTAAGAGAATAGATCGGCTCTTCCATAGGAAGGGCATGAGAAGGACCATCCAGCATTATGTGGCCAGTTGAGAAGAAGACTACCAAAGGAGTAAAGTACAAATCCTTAGCCCCTGCTGGTCTATTGCAACCTTTGCCCCTTCCTAAGAGTATATGGAGTGACATCTCGATGGATTTTATCGGGGTTTACCTAAATCCTCAGGGATGGATTCTATTATGGCAGTGGTCGATCATTTTACTAAGTATGCACATTTCCTTGCTTCAAAACACCCATATTCAGCAAAAGAAGTGGCAGATTTCTTTATATAAGAGATAGTGTGTTTGCATGGTTTCCCCTCATCCATTGTCTCGAATAGGAATCGAGTTTTTATAAGTCACTTTTGGTCCAAATTATTCAAAAAATGCTGGAACACAATTAAAATATAGCTCGGTGTATCATCTCCAATCAAATGGGCAAACAAAGGTTGTCAATAGATGTCTAGACTAGAGACCTATTTGAGGTGCTTTTGCAGCCTCAAGCCAAAATAGTGGTGTCATCGGCTTCCATGGGCTGAATACCTCCTACCATGTATCCACATGTATGACTCCATTCAAATCCCTTTTATGGGTGTGACCCCCCACCCAAATTTGGTGAAAGGTGGTAGTGTTCATTCTAGTGTGGAAGCAGTTATTCGTATGATGCAAGAAATTGTACTGGAAGCAGTTATTCGTATCAGTTGAACAAAGCTCAAAATGAAATGAAGCTTCAAGCTGACTTGCATATAAGTGATCTCACAGATGAGGTGAAAGATTAGGTTTATTTGAAATTGCAATCATATAGGCTCAAATCTTTGGCTAGGAGAGTCAATGAAAAACTCAATCCGAGATTCTATGGACCCTTTGAGGTGTTAGAAAAGATTGGAGAGGTAGCTTATAAGTTGAAATTACCGGAAGGAAGAAGGTTACACCTTGTTTTCCATGTTTCTTAAAAATGCAGTCTCAGCAACCACAAGAGTTTAGCCAACGCCTTTTGTACTCATGGAGTAGTTTGAACTGCCAATCCAGCCTAAAGAGGTGTTAAATGTTCGTAAGACAAATACTGATTCTCGGGAGGTGCTGATTAAATGGAAAGATTTACCATATTTTGAGAATACATGGGAACCACATGATATAATTAAGCATCAATTCCCTGAATTTCACCTTGCGGACAAATTGAAAATGTTGGAGGGGAGTATTGATAGAAGGTTTGAGATTAAGTATGTATATGATAGAAAGGTAAAGGCCTTAGGGGGCCCATTAAAGCATAACCGCTCTAACCAATTTGAAAAGGGGGTGTCAGAGGAGGTTAATGGAACTTAACTGATCGGTTAGAAGAGAGTTTCAGGAAAGAAGGGACCTCTCAAATGCCCTGTGTTATCTTCTTTGTATTTTATATTTCCATTGTCATCTTTTCTGGTTCACTGAGGTACTTGTTATTGATGTCACACTGATATAAATGTTTTAATAGATAGTTCTATCTTTTTCCCTACTTTTCTGTGTTGAGATTCTATCACAAGACATATGTATCTGAAATGGCTGCTGCGAAAGGAATGAGAAGATGGCAGTATAAGAAAATATAAGGTTTTGGTGGCAAGAATTCGTTCATAGTCAATGAGAAGAAAACAATCATGAAGATAATGACTTAATTACAATACAACTCCATATTTTAGGTAACATGATAGCAAAATAGTGACGAGACAAGTCAAAGAGGATGGTACCGCTTTGATACTATGTCAAGAATTAATTCTTTCAAAAGCCTAAATTGTTGGGCCAAAGTACATGAGTGGTTTTATGTTTAACACATCCCCTCACACAAAAACCTCGCTTGAAGCACAAATTATGTACAGGACAACCCTACCTTGAGCTGAAAATTAACCTTTATTTAGAATAGGGTCAACAAGGATGGAAATCTAGACCAATTGGTCAAAGAGGCTTTGATATCATGTTGAGAATTATAGATTAAGGGTTAGGGAAGAAGGAAATGAGAGAAAGATGACTCAAGTTAATAAATAAAAATATTACCGATACATTTAATATAATACAAAAGGCAAAGCATTAATATTAAACAAATAAGGAAAAAAACCATGAAATATAATGAAATAAGAAAACCTTTATTAAGAGATAGTCTAAGATAGTCTAATATGTTTTGAGATCTAATAATGATATTATGAAATATTTTCTAAATATTCTAACAAGCTACAAGGAAAATAAAATTAAACAGAAGATATTCCAATTATATATGAAAGAATTAGTAGAAATCCAATAGCCATACCTTTCTCGACACTGCTTACCAATACGTCCCGGTAAATGTTGCGCAATAGTTGACCACTTTTTAGGCCCATATTTGTTCACCAATTCAATAATTACTTCATCTTCCTGTTTACATTTAGATTAGACAGGTAAGTTCATAATACTATCTAACTAGGAAGTTGATATAATCCAATGTCACATCAGAAGAATGGAAGCAAGAAGGATTGAACTCTAGATCACACAGATAAAGATGCTTTTATACTATGTTGAGAATTATAGGTTTAGAGGGGAAAAGGGAAAGAACAACTTCTATGTGCAGAGAAGATTTACACACAAAAAAAAGGGAAGCAGAGATTACCTCTTTAGACCATGGACCTTTAACAAGTTCAGGATTTAAGACTTTCTGCCACCTATGTAGGCATTGAACATCAGTTCTATCCTTGAAACATTCCGCTACAAATATATAATTGGCGATTAGACAAGTTAAAAACAAACTATCTAACAACAAAGTTGCATAAACTAAAAAATGCTTAACATGGTTAACAAGCTCAACTATGAAGTATGAACCAACATAAGAGACAAGCAAAGCAAATGAAAGAGAGAGAGAGAGAAAGAACTACAAAACTGGTTTTGGGGATCTTAAAAGACAAAATTTATGCTCTTGACATCAGAAAATTACCATGGAAAATTAAGTGAATCCCTCCCCCAAATTAGTACATAAGTTTTTTATTTCTTTTAAATCAACTCAGTTAAGCCTACAAATGTCTAAATGAAGAAAGCTCATTTCAGGCTTATAACTTAATTAGGAATTGGACACGCACAATGTGCACTCAAGCATATACCGGATACTAGTGCCTGTGGATCATGAATAATTTCATGAAATTATAATGAATTAGTACAAATTGATATCAAATATACTACCTATTTTTTTCCAATTTTTTCCATTGAAATGCTGAACAGCCTTCCGTAAGATCTCATCCTGCAAAAAAAAAAAAAAAAATCACTTAATATTTAATAATGTGTTAAATTTTCTTATGTATAAACATCATAAAAATTTATAATCTTCGAAATTAAAACAAAAAAGAAAGGGAAAACTATAAGATCCAAAATTCTAAATGTACAATTATATCAAAAAAATTAAAAAAACAAAGCGCCAAGGTAGAGAGAAACTGTAAAAATTTCTTAGATATAACTAGAATCAATTGAAAGTTAAAAAAAAATTAAATGCAAAAAATAACATGAAACATGTAAAAAAGGTGCTTAGTTTATTTAACAATTTACATAATTTTGTTTGTGCAAATAAAACATTGCCAGGGTATAGACAGATAAAATAAGTTACAGCTTTTCTATCACAAGTAAAACATTGTAACCAAACTTAAGAAAGAATAATTATGTTCAACAGTTCAAGTATCCAAAAAATCACCTCCTCAGGTGTCCATTGCCCTTTTGTAGAGCGCCTTGTAGGGCCCGTTGTCCTCCTACAAATAGATATTTTATGGTTAGCAGAAACTCATTTAGCCCCATCATCAGTGTCTCAAAGAACTGAAGAAGCAGATACTTAGTATGGTTACTCCTCCTACAACCTTCACTTGTTAGTAATTGAACATTATTAATTCAATGAAAAGGGAAGATAGACCAGGCAGGACGGTAAACGAATATTTCGAGAGTAAGCACTACAATCCTCACTGGTTAATAATTGAACATTATTGGTTATGAAAAGGGCAGACACTGATAGACAAGGCAGGAAGACACAAAGGATAGCTTTGAAAGTAAGTATTTCAACCCTAACCTGTTAATAATAGAGTAATTTTGGCTCTAGAAAAGAAGATTCTGATGAATCTCATCAGTAAATCATTTCTTTAGAAGGAGTATATATCTCCAAAGATAAATATGACAATTGTTAAAAGGTTAAAAGCACTAGACACCAACAAAAAATGCCTTGTAGGTATAAAGACACAGAAGGAACACCAACAATAACCTGCTACTCTAACCTCTATTGCTAAGGGTGTGTTTGGAGGGGAAGGATAATTTTTTTATTTCTAAATATAGGGAATCATAAAATATTTATAAAAATAAATAAGGGATGATCGAAAGGCTAACAACAATCTCTCAATTAAAAATTCTCAAACAAAGAAAATGCTTATTTAAAATAACAATTTTCTCCTCCCCTCCTTCCCCCTCTACACATACCGGAGAAGATTGTGTTGTGTCTAAGATCAAGAAAACATATGCATAGTACTGTGAAAGATTGTGAAATACATAGATGATTTTTATAATTACCCATGCAATGCTCTAATTTTCTGAACACCATCAATGAGCCCATCTGATGGAGCAGGGATTTTCCGGTCACTGTCCATAGTTTGTTGGCATACAAATAAAAAAGCATACCCCAATTCCCACTCGACTGCAAATCATTATAATCCCTTTAAGGCGCCGTAGGAACAATCTCCTGCAGAAAACAAACACAGAAACTCAAACAAGGAATCATAAAATCCAAAAATAAAAAAAATAAAAAATCAACAATGTAAATTACCCAAAAATCAATTCCAGAAATAATAATAATAATTTTAGAGCCTCATACTTGGATCATACCCAATAGTTCAATAACAAGAGTAGGGGTAGTGAGTACTAAAATTCACACTCCTTGTCTTCAAAAAATAAAAAATAATAATAAAATTGAGGGAGATTAATCGACCCTGTCTCAAAACCAGAAAAACATTCAAAACGACAAAACCCAAATTCAAATTCAAATTCAAATTCAAATTAAAGTTAATAAAAAAAAACTGAAAATCCAGACATGATTCGAAAAATTCGTTACTGAATAGGGTAGATGCGAAGAAAGCATCATAATCAAGCAAATTGGACACTCACGAACTGAACTACAGAATCCCAAGGGTTGAGGAATGCATTGAGATGACCGAAGCTGTTCGCAGTGGCAGAATCCAAGAACGGAGTTTTTGCGAAGAAGGAAGGATCTGCAGAATGCACTGTTGCAACGATCAAGATGAAAAGGAGGAAAAAGGTTGAGAGAGAGAAAGAGAATTAGAAAGTGAAACGTTGGTTTTCTCTTCTATTCAAACTTGAAGGGGCGCATATGAGAGTTTCAAACCCTATGGTTTAATGCATGAAACGGTAGCAATGGACAAGGAGAAATGAGACACCTATGTCTTTATGTGCTCATTTTCAAATGTTTAACGGCAACTTGTTTATATTTCAACTTTTTTTTATGAAATCAATATTTTATTTATTTTAAAGGGAGGATTATGTTTAAAAAAAATTTATTTACAAATTACGTTACTTAATCCGAAGAGTACATAATGTATGTATACACGTAATATAATTTGTAAGAATTTATAAATATTTACTTATCACATAAATTAGTAGTTATTATTAATATGGAAATTTTTAAGTTACTTCTGTCACGCAACTGACTTGTTGCAATAGGTCAATTAAAATCAAAGAGAGGAGGTGCAAGTTGTACAAAGGAAAAAAAAAATTTAATCCAAATATCATTTTTTAAACGAAAGACGCACGTACAACGGGTGCACTGACACTTAAAATTATGTTACGTTAAATTGTTAATATTTATTTTTGGATTTCACTTAAAATTCAAACTAGATATCTATCATGTCACATGACACAAAAAAATTTCTTACACATACAACATTTTGTGGGACCGCACTTTTTGAAGAAAAAAAAAATTAAGACACGTAAAACGAATCTCTATAATATTACACAATCATTTTTCCTACAACATAACTCTTATAAAATTCATCTTTCAATCCAACTGTTCTTTCCGTGGATACAATCCACTTCCTGGTAGTGTTGTTTCTCAATATTTTAATTATTATATATTTTTTGTGAGCAATTATTAATATTTTAATTGGCTTGATAATGGAAGTGATGACATTATTAATAACACAAGGGAGAGAGAAATTTGGAGGATAAACTATATATTGTTTTTCCTTTTTTGCATGACAAATAAAGTTATTTAAGAATTTGTATGTCATTATTGAAATTCAAACGATTTACGCTATGATGACGTACACTTTCTTTTTTATTATATAATAACTTAAAAATTTGTAATACAAAAAAAAATTAGAAACGAGATTTTCTAAACTTTAAAAAAACTAAGTGCAAGATGTTAGCTTTTGTGATTTTTAATTAAGCTTTTAATGTTAGAAATAGTCTTTTGATTGTAGCAAAATATATTTTATGGAGATTAATTTTCTCATTTTGCATGAGAATATTTTTTCATATTATATACACAATATATAAGTGGGGTTCACAAAAAATGAAAAAACAAAAAAATAAAATGGGACCTACATTTTAATTGTTAGTGTAACATTAAAAAATTTCTTATGTAAAATGAGAAAACTATTTTTCATATTTTATTAATAAAGTCAAAATATAATTCTTCAAACAATAATAACAATTATAAAATCCAATACTATAACTATAAATTATTTAATAGAATTGGTTGAAGGTTGTGAAAAAGAACAATATGGAAAATTAAGGGAATACTTGCAGAGCTATTGAGAAGCAACCTGGATCCACTTGCCAAATGCAAGTGACACCCCCAACCTATTCCACAAGCACTCCTAATATTCGACAGTAATATTCAAGGACCAAAATGGATATTTACTCTAAAAACAAACGATTGTGAGCATTGTGATTCACTTTCTATAAAGAAATTTGAAAAGATTGTTTGAATTTTTTTGAATGGTATAAAGTTAAATTACTTTTGAATATTAATTAAATCATTAAAATTATTAAAGTGACTTTACGTTTATCATTATAGGAGAATAATAATAATAATAATAATAATAATAAAAGAGGTTATACTTATAACTATTTTTCTCTTACAATCACTTTATGGTTATTAGATCAAAATCAAATCAACGGTTACAAAATGATATTAATGAGAGCTATTGATTTGATTTTGATCAAAAAATCATAAAAATGGTTGAAAGAAGTTATAAGTATAATTTCTCCTTAAAAATATATCAAAAAAAAATTACTTCTCCCTAAAAGAATATAAATTTAATTTTAATTTTTAATATTAGTAAATCAATAATACTTAGTTTATATTATTTGAGAGAGGTTATATTTACAACATCTTTCACCTTATAACTACTTTTATGGTTATTTGATCAAAATCAAATCAATGGTTACAAAATACCATTAAATGAGAGCCGATAATTTTATTTTGATCCAACAACCATAAAAGTGGTTATAAAAGATTATAAGAGAAAAGATATTATAAATATAACATCTCCCATATTATTTTAAAAATAATTTATTCAAGATCTGGTCATGAATATCTTTCAAAAAAAAAGGAAATGAAAAGTCAAACATAGAAGCACTTATCCCTTTGAAATGTAAAATAGCTCCATGCCTCTTTCTTAATATATCATTTAAATTTCTTGTCAATTGTTAACCACAATAGTTTGAAGTCATTAAAAACTAATAAGAACATAAGAACAAAAATGAAAGAAAAGGATATTAGGAAAATTACGATGACTCATTAATTTTAAAATTAATTAATATTATATCAAGATGGAAACTAAAATTATATTTAAAAAAACCTAAATTTTAAACTTAAATAAATAAAAAGGTTTGAATATCTTCCATTCGATTTTTATTTTTTGAATAACAATATCTTTCATGTCATTTATTTTATAATTATCTATCTCCTTTAATTTTTTTTTTTTATCAAATATCTCCCACTTCATTATCCGGGATTCATCCAAAAATACAAAAAGAAAAAAAACCATAAAGCCGTTTTATTTTTACATAGCTTCCCCAAAAAAGTTTAAAAATAAAAAAGAGAAAAATTCAAAGACGTGCATTAAATTGTAATACGGCAAATTGCATCAGAGCAATAACTTAGTGTGTACAATCACAAAATCCAAAAGTAGCTGAGAAAAACATCAGGTAAACCCCTTAAAGCAGCTACAAACTAATCAAAATTTGCAGTAGGGGCTCTCATTCACCTAATCTCTCAGCAACACAAAAAGGCTTTTATCTATAAAACCCTTTATGCAGTTTTAGAACTTTCTAACTTTATTTGGGCGACCAAATGCAGATTCATTCTCTCTATAGCGGGTATGTTTCCCCGCTCTACCATGCCTTCCTCCCCTGCGAAGAAATAAATGATATAATTAATATTCTAGTTCCAGTTCCATACCCTCGAGTAAGTTTTCAGCAAGAAGTGTGGGAATAAATGTAGTTAGGTGAGTCTTTTATTTCTAATTTTAGTAGGTATATCACTAGGAGTACTGAATATTTATTCCACCCATACCCCATAAAAAGAGAAATGAAAAGAGGAACCAAAAGACTTCTTCAAGTCAAATTCAAGACATGGTTGAGTCCAAGCCCTTACCTTCCACGGTTACTCTTAAATTCTCGGTGCTTTTTTTCTCGATTACCACGAAGCAGGCTCCAGTATTCTCTTTCATCCTCACCTGAGATCATGACACACAAGAATAGCTCTCAGTTTAAACTACCAATAAAATTACAGAGTGTCATTAGACATGAAGTGTGCATTTTTACCATCTAAATAGAATATAGCTTATCCTCATAGCTAGAAACATTAAAAGAAACAATATGCTAAGACTACAAATGAAATCCAAACAGAAATAACTGTTTTGAAAAATTAAACTAGATGTGAAACTAACCAGTCACTGGATCTAGAGTAGCAACATAATTCTTCACAACTAAGCCCCCCTTTTCAGAAAGAACTCCAGCAGCACGAGCTTTCTGAGCAGATTCAGGTTCTTCAAACCGAATGTATCCTGACTCTGCTCCAACCTTGAAATCAATGTACTGAACAGGCAAACAAGAATATAGGATTCATATACCAGTCTTGATCAATTCAAAAAGCTTAATGATAAATTGATAACCAATTTTTTAGTCTTAAGGATTGGAGTGAAACAGAAAGGTCTAGCCCACCATCAGGGTATTCAAACAAAACTTGGAGGCAAACAATATCCTTTTAAAAGTGCAAAAAACTACATAAGAAAAACAAAAAGGTGGGAGTTGTAAAAAAATCAGACAGAAGGCATAAAGGCCCACCCGGCTGGAGAAAGGGGAAACCCTAATTACCTTCACAGTACCAAACTTCTCGAAGACATCTTTCAAATCCTCACGTAATACAACATCCTTGTTGTCCTTGTAAGCAGCAGCTGAAAATTTTTCTTCAGTTTCTTGACTCTTTTCTTCACCTTTAGTCTCCTTTACTTCATTTACCCCATTATTTTCTTTATCGTTGTCAACATTTTCTGATATCTTTTCATGACATTCCTCAGCAGCAATTTCAGAGGGATTTTGCTGATCTGTTTTGGAGGCACCATTATTGTCATTGGTTTGTTGATCAGTTTCATTTTGTTCTGAAGGAACTTCATCAGAAATGCTCTTTAGTTTGAAGGCTCCATCTAAGCCTTTAGGGTAGCTGTGATAAATATGAAAGAAGGCAATCAGTTTACAATCTTTTTTATTTATTATTCTGTGGTTGGAAGTGGGGATTAAAAGAATTGTCACCATCTTACTTTGCCTCTGTACTTGAGTTATTCTGGTGATTTGAACCCACAAGTAGACAAGATTTTTCATGGTCTTCTAATTCTTTTTCTCTCTCTGCATCGAAGTCCTTCCTGAATTGGGTATAAATATAAACTATATTAGACAATATGCATATGTAGACTGTCTCATGCCACAAAATTTCAAGTTAGTAACAAAAACCAATGTTACAAGCTAAATGCAGTGATTTGAATATTTTCATATAGTCATACCAGGAGTATCACTGGCTCTAAAGCATCTATTAACAATTCAATTTTTAATTTTAATTTTTTTTTATAAATATAAAAATAATTGCAAATGTTATTGCAATATATGTATATTATAATCCAATGTTCTTTTGTCAAAATACTCCGTGAAATATATACGCAAAGGATTTTGAAAGAAAACATTGGATTATCTACCCTTTCTTTCCCTAACATTAGAAAAAGATTTAATATAAGGGAAAAAAATATTAATACTTTTTTATTAAAATTCATCGACGATAATTCTTGAATCACTATAAGCATTCTTACTTTGGCTTTAATTCTAACTCAGCCCCTGCATAGACCGGTTTTTGCATCAAAATGTTCTCCACTTCTTCATCTGATGAGAACTCAATAAGGGCAGTGCCACAGAAAAGCTTTTCGTCTCCAACATGACGGGGCAACCGAACACTGTTAACCTAAAATACAAAAACAAGAATTTGTCACTTTTGTGGGGTTCGAGTTTGGCAAATAACCCTTTTGCAAAAATGAATTGGTAAAACTGCATAAAATTGACTTTCACAAAGTTGGGGAGCCTTGTGCACTAGGGTTTTCCTTTTACCTTTTATAATAAAATAAATTATCAAAAAGTACTACCTAGTTCCTAGTCCCTACTTCCAGGGCTATCTACCAAAAAGTTTTATCATTAAAGGAATATATAATCTGAAGCATTCAAAGATCAACAAGTGGAATCAAATGCCAGAGTTTATCTTTAAATGCTGAAGACAATCTGATGTTTATAAGTATAGAGATTTTGCTGCTATTTCGGGTCAAGAGACATAATGAAATTTTATACAGTTTTTGCTCCAGTTGGCACATACCATGCATCAAAACTCAGGATAAGAAGAGAAACGCTCCAGCTAAAATGTCAGAATGTAAACTATGGCACCAGTGCTAATATTACCTTGGCATATTGACCAAAGAATGTCTCTACATCTTCAAGCTTCACATCATATTCAAATGGTGATGCTGCAATTGTTCTTATCTCTACCTGCTCAATTACCTCTTCTTGCTTTGGAAGTTCAGTTACCCTGCCAACTTTGTTCCCTGAAACATATGAATAAAAGATAAGAAAGAAATGTGTTGTAAGTAGTATGTGTTCATTCAACATAGAATTAGCACCTAAAGTTAAAGCAAAACATTTTGATCAAGTCAACCACTGATCTGGCAGTGACAAATATGTGGTTAAACTGATGTCAATTTCATTCATGGTCTCACTCCAAGAAACCCAAATTAAAGTCAAAAAAATAAACTTAATCTATGACCATATGCTTCCTCTGAGTTCTTACATTCCTCAGCAGCAATTTCAGAGGGATTTTGCTGATCTGTTTTGGAGACACCATTATTGTCATTGGTTTGTTGATCAGTGTCATTTTGTTCTGAAGGAACTTCATCAGAAATGCTCTTTAGTTTGAAGGCTATAAGTAAGCCTTTAGGGTAGCTGTGATAAAAATGAATGAAGGCAATCAGTTTACAATCTTCTTCTTTATTTTATTTTATTTTATTTTATCTTTTTTGTGAGTGGAGGTGGGGATTAAAAGAATTGTCACCATCTTACTTTGCCTCTGTACTTGAGTTATTCTGATGATTTGAACCCACAAGTGAACGAGATTTTTCAAGGTCTTGTAATTCTTTTTCTCTCACTGCATCGAAGTCCTTCCTGAATTGGGTATAAATATAAACAATATTAGACAATATGCATATGTAGACTGTCGCATGCCCCAAAATTTTCAAGTTAGTAACAAAAGTCAATTTTGGAAGCTAAATGCAGTGATTTGAAAATTTTCATATAGTCATGCCAGGAGAATCACTGGCTCTAAAACAAACTATTAACAATTCACTTTTATTTTTTATAATTTTACTTTATTTACAAATATAAAAAATAATTGCAAATGTTATTGCAATATATGTATATTATAATCCAATGTTCTTTTGTCAAAATCCTTCATGAAATATATACACGAATGAATTTGACAGAAAACACTGGATTATCTACCCTTTCTTTCCCTAGCATTAGAAACATTTCTAATATAAGGGGAAAAAATATTAGTACTTTTTTATTAAAATTCCTCAACGATCAGTCTTGAATCACTACAAGCATATTCTTACTTCGGCTTTAATTCTAACTCAGCCCCTGCATAGATCAGTCTTTGCATCAAAATTTTCTCCACTTCTTCATCTGATGAGAACTCAATAAGGGCAGTGCCACAGAAAAACTTTTTGTCTCCAACATGACGGGGAAACCGAACACTGTTTACCTGAAATAGAAAAACAAGAATTTCTTATTTTTGTGACCAGAAGGTCACGGGTTCGAGTTTGGAAAATAACCTCTTTGCAAAAATGAAATGATAAAACTGCATACAATCTCACCAAGTCACAAAGCCTTGTGCACTGGGGTTTTCCCTTTTCCCTTTAGAATAAAATAAATTATCAAAAAGTACTACATAGTTCCTAGTTCCCACTTCTAGGACTATCTACCAAAAAGTTTTATCGTTAAAGGAATATATAATCTGAAGCATACAAAGATTAACAAGCGAAATCAAATGCCAGAGTTTATCTTTAAATATAGAAATTTTGCTCCTATTTCGGGTGAAGAGACATAATGAAATTTTATACAGTTTTTGCTCCAGTTGGCACATACCATGCATCAAAACTCAGAGGATAAGAAGAGGAAACGTAATGCTCTCCAGCTAAAAGGTCAGAATCTAAACTATGGCACCAGTACTAATATTACCTCGGCATATTGACCAAAGAATGTCTCCACATCTTTAAGCTTCACATCATATTCAAATGGTGATGCCGCAATTGTTCTTATCTCTACCTGCTCCTCTTCTTGTTTTGGAAGTTCAGTTGCCCTGCCAACTTTGTTCCCTGAAACATATGAATACAAAATAAGAAAGAAATGTGTTATAAGTAATATGTGTTCATTCAACATAGAATTAGCACCCAAAATTAAAACAAAACATTTTGATCCAGTCAACCACTGATCTGGAAGTGACAAATATGTGGTTAAACTGATGCCAATTTCATTCATAGTCTCACTCCAAGAAACCCAAATTAAAGTCAAAAAATAAACTTAATCTATGACCATCTGCTTCCTCTGCCACTCATCTCAATGGACTCCTAAAAGTTTTAAAAGAAATTACAAAAATAAAATAACATATGTTGTTACCATTACTAGTAATTACCATAAATCCCTCATTTTAATAGCAAATAGTGCTTTGTAGAAGTAAGCGGTTCATAACAATATAGTGAATAGAGCTTTGCATAGCAAATAGTGAATTGCTAAAGCATGTTAGGAGAAGGAAAATCACTATCTCCAAGTCTAAACAAGCCAGAATTGCACTATCTCCTACTCTAAATTAGTCAAAAAAACGAAAAATGTACACAACCAAGATATGTGGAAGTTGCAGTAATCTAGATTCTTTAATTACGAATCGCACATAAATATGTAACTGATTGTTGCCTGAGTAGAACCGCATTTTCACACAAAAATAAACACAACTGCACAACACAAGGAAGAAAACAAGAAAGCAAACAGTGAGAGAAACTGACCATCTTCTGAGATCCTGAGCGAAGCCGCATTTCTCAAAGCTTGAGCAACAGCTTTAACAGTATCTTGGGTCACCTGATCCGGCTTAACATCACCCAGATTAAGATGCATTCGCATCCGATTAAAAGAACAAATCAAAGCCAAACTAACCACTGTGTGGTTGTAGTAACAGTTAAGACCAACAATGAAAACAAAAAGACAGGTACCCATATGAAGGTCATGTTTAGCTGGATGGAATAGTTTTTAACGTAATGTCTAAGGAAGAGAGAATAAAATGGAATTCTCATTTTCCCTAATTTGTTTGGTATCATGGATAGGAATGAAATATGAAATGATAGCTACCTTCCCTTTCTATCTGTGAAAAGGAAGTAGCTAATCACACTTTTATTTAAGTGTTCTGATTTATTTTTTTAATTATGTGAGTCATCAAATACAAATGAATCAATGACCACTTTTTATTCTTATAGCACTGCCCCATTATTAGAATTGGGGGAAAAAACTGTTTTTTTAGGTGAAATGAGATTGTACAAGTGAAATGGAAGGGAAATATCTTCATTTTCATTTTCATTCCAATCAAATAAGCACCAAGTTTAATACTTCATCTACTTTAGCAAAATGCTATAAACATGAACCAATTTTAATGAAACAAAAAACAGGTAAAAATGCAAGGATACTGCCATCTTCACTTTCATTTACAGTTTTCTTCAAAAAACTGTCCTTAGGAAGGTTGCTATCACTGAAGTAGAACTCCACCTAATTTCGCAAATTAGGGAAGGACAAAACGACACAAGAGTTGAATGATCAATCACAGCATACGCAAATGGATATTGAAAACCAAATACGACGGATACAAACCTGTCGTATCACTTTCTTCGTTGTTTCCTCGTCCAACGACGGTGTGATCGCCATTGAATATTGATGAAACGGAAATCAAAGAGGCGCTGTGCCTAAAGAGCGTGAGAGTGTTGTAGGGTTTATGAGATAATCAGTGTTTGGTTTCTTTTCATTTCGTGTATTCGGAATTTTATATTTGAGTTTTAAACCAATAATAAATTAAGGGTTTTATAAGAGTTACGCCGTAGGAAAAATGATTGTGTTATGTTATAGAGATTCGTTTTGCGTGCCGAATTTTTTTTTTTTTTTGCTTTAAAAATTGTGAGTCTCACAAAATGTTGTGTGTAGAAAGGTTGTTGTGGTAACTTTAAAAGGTTTTATTAATCTCCTTTTACATAAGATAGGTATCTTATGTTGTAAAGAGAAACTAGATGGGTCCCACCATTACAAGAAAAAAAAAGTGAAGTGCGAAAATCGAAGTGAGAGAAAATGAGATAAGCTACTTCACGTAAAAGTAGATTAATATTTCCCAATGTTAAATGATACAAAACCCTTAGGGGGCGTTTGGTATGCGGAATTTTGAGGGATTCTCGGAAAACTGAATTTTTTTAAATTTTAAATTTTCAGATATTATCGTAAACTGAATGTAAAAATCATATTTTTGAAAATCGAGATTCCCAGACAAATAAAAATTTCTCCTGTACCAAACGCCCTCTTAAAATAATGTTAATGTTGGATTTTAGCATAGATTTAGAACTTGACCCTCCACTAGCTCAATGTACTGTGCTATAATTTTATTGATTTTTTTTAAAAGAAAAAAGTGCTTTCTCAAAAATAAATAAAACGAAACATACAATAAAGTTACTGAGTAGCGGACTAATAATTTTGTTTAAGCTGGAATACTTCTTTTCAATGCTTTTCTTTTATCTTTATTTAATTATTAATTAGGAATGTAAATAAATTGAATTATTTGTAAATTATTTCAGCTCAACTTGTTAATTGTTAATTATCAGAATAATTATTTAACAAAATAACTAACTTCTAGTTAAAATGATAACTTTGCAGTTAATCTTAGTGGCGAATCAAGGAGGGATATGGTCGACGATCGCGCCTCCTTAAACTTTAACTTTTTAGTCTCAGCCTTAATAATTAATTCCTCTTTCAACAATATTTATAATAATTAATCCTTTATATAGTAACTTTGATATTTATTTTTGCCCTTATCATAAAAAAAATCTTGGTCCCCAGCTATCTATAAGTTTCTTTGAATCTATAAAAGTATAGTATCTTCAATCTTAAGAAAGAGTGAATTTTATTCTATGCAAATTTTTTTTTTGGCGAAAAATTTTATTCTATGCTTTTACCTAAGCAAAATATCGTTTCTATCAAAACACATCAACTTTTTAATTAAAATCTACAAACATAAAAAGATTTTCATGGCTTTAATTTTTATTTTTATTTTACACCTTGGAGTTAGTATAGTCAAACCAAAAATTTAATTTTAGAAATTTAATTTTGTTGCTGTTTAGTTCCACATTTTTTTTAAGATAAGGGGAGTAGAATAAATATTTTAAAGTTATTGATTTCCATGATTAACCTATAGTAACAGTGTTAGAATACATATATCATAAAAAAAAAAAAGAATAGATATATTTTAGGTGCTATGACATTTAATTATATCTTTGTTTATACAAAATTAACTCATGAACCTTAGTTTTCCGTTATCTTTCACAATTTTTCCACTATTATATTGCATTTCCAACCTTCACATGTAAATTATTGGTTAAGTATGTATAACAAATGATTAATTACATGTCCTCTACTACTTCAATAATAGATTAACTATCAAAATTTATGAATTAGATGTTAAACTTAAATCGGTCTGATAGTTAGTTAATCCTCCGAGACTTCTGTAAACAAATTATTTATGAAACTATCATTGCACTCTTTGTTATATGGGATTATATTTTCTTATGCAACACAAGATATGTTATCTCATGTTGCACTCACAATTTTGAGTGGGTCCCATTGCACGGAGAAAGAGAAAAAAATATTAAAGTGGGACCCATACCTTTTTGAGTGTGTAGGAGAGACTTGTTGTCTCATGTGACATGAGATTAATATTTCCCTTGTTATATATATGGGTTCATTAATTTGTGCAGACTTATCTTATTTTGGGACAAATCAAATACAAATAATAGAGGTGCTGTAAAACTATGCAAATTAACCAAAAAAAAAAAGTATATGCAAATATATTTTCCATTTAATAATTTATGAAGATGGTATGGTACATCTCCTCCGGACATACAAGGTTTAAAGCTTCCATTAATATAAACTTCCTTGTAACCTTTATAATTTAAATAAAACATATCATCTCTCACCGGGTGAAGCAGGGGCAAACAACAACAACAGAATATGTGTGCAACTAAATAAATACGTGAAACTCTCTGGGGCTTAGCCCCTCTTTATTTATAAAAAAAAAAAAAATACGTGAAACTCTTCTATCCATCATACTTGCATAGGTCCTCGAATCCCATGTATTCATTCCTTTGAATCTTCATAACCATGTCTGATATACCAATTCCACCTACACACAGCCATAGAAGTGAAAGCTATGTAAGCAAGATGCTGGTTCTTACAAGGCCAGACAAAGAAGAATAAATGGCATGGACCAACTTTTCAAAAGCTTCAAGCTCTTGCGAAAATGCACATGAATAGTTTTATTTTATCTTTAGAACATCTCTGCATGCAATGGCGGACTCAGGTGGGTGCTATTGTCTGCACTCGCAGACATAAAGTTGAGGGAAAAGTCATGCCTTCTCCTAACTATGAAAAAGTCATGTTCATTTACTATATCATGTAGAATATTAGATGTCTCTAGTCCATCATTTACCGTTACTCTTCTATAACTCACACCTTCCAAGCCATACTCTGGCTTCTTAATACCTTCTAACACCTCATTATCTCTTATGCACTCCAAGTCTATATTGTATTCTTTAGGAGCAAGGTGGTACACAACCAACTTGATCCTGGGGTCCCTCAGTGCTCGTTTGGCTAAGCACAAAGCCTCTCTGTCATCTCTTCCACCCAAGAATATCATGGCTAACCGAATGTATGAGTAACTTTCCTAACTATGAATATCATGGCTAACCGAATGTATGAGTAACTTTTTCATAGCTAAGGGTGCAGACATAAAGAAAATTTCCTAGGTTCGCCACTGTCTGCATGCAAGAGTGACTAGGGATGTGCAAAATAACCAAAAAACTGAACCGAACCATAAACCGAACCGAACTGTTCTTAAAATAACCGGTTTTTAAAAACCGGTTCATGAACCAAACTGGATTTTAAAGAACCAGTTCATGAACCGAACCGATTTTTAGAACCAGTTTAAGAACCGAACCGTTTCGAACCGAACCGAACCGTTTCCGAAATTGAATCGAACCGTTTTCAAACTGAACCAAATTGATTTTTATAACTTTATTTTTTAATTTTTTTTTCCTTTCAAAATAGGGTCAACCCAAACCGGTTTCGAACCGAATCGTTTCCAGCCGAACCAAACCACTTCCGAACTGAACCATTTAAACCAATTCGGTTCGATTTTTCAAAAAATTCAGTTCAGTTCGACCTATGCACATCCCTACAAGAGTCCACTCTGGGTTTTGAAGCGTGGATAATGCACAGGCATGTTATGAATAATTCATAATTCCCCCGAAAACTTAAGCCATTAGGAATTGACATATAAATGATTTCATTATGGGATTAATGTTTCTTATGTTGTACGAGAAAATTTCATCCCCTACATACACATAAAAGTGTGCGGAACCCATGTGAGGCCATATGAAAAGGAGAGAGGAAAAAAAACATGAACCCCACATACTTTTATGTGTGTGTATGAGATAAAATTATTTCCTACAACATTAGAAACATTAATCCCTTTTATTATATCTCTAATAAAATCTGAAATATAAAAACTAGACCTTAGCTTTCTCTAATAAAGTTGCTCAATGCATGACTTGTACAAAAGCCAGTGTGCATTTGCCACTTGTTATGCATTGCAAGTCGCGAATCATACATGCCCAACTTGAAGATAGACACCACTCATGTGTCACTCGCAACACGCTATATATTGGTTTTTCACAAGTCAGACATCACCCTATGTGTGACTTAAACATGCATACCCCATACACATCTAATCGTATTATTTTAGCAAAATATTTGAATTTTAAATCATCATGGGAAATGTTTCTTTATGACATTATTATTGTCAAAAGGGCTGAAAGACTACGCCTCTCTACAAAGACAAAAGCGAACTTAGCAAGCAGCAACTCAAAACAACAGCATAAAAACTCACCTAGTGCAATTGTACTAATAAAAATTGTGAAAGCCACTACGAAGATAATCAAAGAGGCCCTTTGGAAGACACTAACAAGCTTGTCAATGATACGCTGTCCTATGTATGCAGCAAAGGTAGCCACAAGTGTAAGGTAGAGAGCTGTAAAACAGGATGAAACATGCATATTATTACTTGAAACATATTGACTTTGAAAACCATTCAGAATAAAAAAGGGTAAAATGTTACCATAAGGAACAGGAAAACGATTCAAGAGGTAATATTGTACAACAGATATAGATGCTGAGAATGTCATTCCCAAAGTGGCTGTTGCACTTGCTACCTGCACCATTATGAAACATAAGAAGCTAACTATATCTTCACCAATTTATATAATATAATAACACAGGTGAAACTGCTAATAGAACTCGCCTGAGGAGCAATTCCCACTTCAAGCAATAAAGGACCCATCACAAATCCACTACCTATACCAAGAAGTCCACCAATAATTCCAGCCACCAGACCACACACAAGGGCTAGAATTAGATGGTGCAATTTCCAATGTGTGATTTGACCTTCGCTAGAAGCAATAGCTCTCCACCCTTGATATAGGCCTACTGCTTCATACAGATATACCCCTAGAGAAGGTGGTATCTTCAAAACAGAAAATATAATGCTTCCAGATTATAAGTAACGCACACTAATATTTTGCACAATGGAAAAGAAAGGACACAAATCGATGTATGTAATTGGTTTACCTGTAACAAAAAAAGTATCCAGTATGCTAATGAACAAGAAGGTGTATAAGTCTGTTAAAAGTGAATCATTTTAATGATTAGTTCAAATAAATATACAAGTAAAATGAGGGATGTAATGTAAGTTCTGATTCTACCAGCAGAAAGAGAAATTACTTTGGCAACATGTAAGACTAGGTGTGCAAGCCAGACACAACAAACAAGTCCAAACTCCTTCCAATGAATGTTGCCTATTATGGTCCCCTGCATGCATAGTTGCATTCCAATATTGCATATGAGAACTGATTATATTATATAAAGAACGACGCTATCACAGTAGGCCAACCTCATTTTTTCTAGTTTCCTTTTGAGGCCCATCATCTGGAAGACACTTGTATTCCTCTTCCTCACTGCAACTGGCTGGAACAAAAGGGTCATGCTTAATTAATATATATTATAGCTTCTATCTTGTGACCATGTGAAATCTTTTCATGAAAAGAACCAATAAATAAACTCACCAGTAGACTCCAAAAGCTTGACAGTCTCCTGAGACTCCAAAAGCGTGACAGTCTCCTGAGACTCCAAAAGCTTAACAGTCTCCTGAGACTCCAAGAGATTGAAAAGGTAGGTTTAGAATTATAATTGTCCTTGCACAAAAAATGCAGTGACGTATAACCAGGGGCATGAAGAGGGGGGGCGCAAAAGTGCAAAAGTATAAGTTCACCAAAGCTCTCTAATATTTGTAGTACTAACCTTTTTTATTATGGTTTCCTTTTTCCATGTTTCAACACCCTTGAAGAACGCTTTGATTGATGTCCCTACAGGTCCCAATATAACAAATCAACCATATCACTGAGTGAAAATTTTAAGTGGAGTTGAAGTACATGTCTTCTAGTATTACCTATGAAGAGAATAATTAGAAGAGCAGTGATCATCCAATCCGCAAACAGTACACTTAAAACAACTCCTATGCTAATACCAAGCAGGATCATGGGTTGGATAAGCAGCACCAAATCATAGTCGATAATGGGTCTATCAAGTGTGGGATGCTTTAGCTTCAAGTTGTAGAATACAGTTGAGATCGCTGCACCCATGATCATGCCTGAAACAGACACAATAAATGGTCAAAAAAAGGAGTTCATAAACAAGTTTCTTCACTAAACCATTCTTGAAAGAAACATTCAGAGAACAGCATAAACATTATTTATGAACAGGTAAATGCTGACGGATATTCAGTTATCATTGAGATCAGACAGAATCTTACACTTTGAAATAGCAGTTGCTGATTTTGGATCAAACCCAATAATCAAAATTAGCATTGGTACAAAGATGCCCCCACCACCAACTCCCCCTACACTTCCAAATGTTGCTCCGAAGATTCCAATCAAGGTGCCAACAATTATTCGCCAGCCAAGTTCCATTTCCTATGAATTCATAGGCGAGCAATCAAATTTGATGTTTCTTAATCCGAATACAGGTAAGTAAATGGCAAAAATTACAGATTTCATATACAATCATACATGTACATATAAATAGAAACTTGGAAGATCCTAACACAATAGAACATATATTTTCACATTGGTACACCTACATGTTTATCTAAAGAGTGACATACCCAAATCTACACATCATCAAGTGCTCCTTATTTTAGAATATATATATCTAATATTGTAAAAAAAAAAATATATATTATATCTAATATTGTAAAAAGTACTTTTGGTTTGATTTACAAGTTCCACCTTTGGAAGGGGTTTAAAATATTTATCATGGACTCATCCTGTATTGCAAATTAGTCCCATGGACCAGCTCAAAAGTTGAAGCTCATGTAAATACGGGAGGAAACTACTAGACAAGAGAAAATTAGGATGTTTCCAAAAAAAAAATATTGTATTCCAAGGAAATAACTCCCTTGGTAAACCAAAGAGCTTCCTTTGTTAATTTTGTCTCCACTTAAAAAGGCCACTGAAGAAGCAATGAAGGTAGGAAAGTTGAGTAAGATTGACTCATGAAGAAAGGCCATGTAATGGTAATTAAGAAACAACATGTAATGAATGCAAGTAACTTACTGGCCAGACATGTTGATAACCTGAATGACTCCATAAGAACTCCATAGCTTTGACAATGTAAGTAAAAGGTTGTGTTCCATTTGTAGCAGATATTTCACTTCCAGTGCTTCTTCCTATAGCAGAAACAAAGACAAGAAGAAGCAAAAAATTGAATGAAACAATAACCACATTTCTCATATTTCTCATGATCACAGCCAATTTGCTCCAAGCATGGAAAGCTCTAAGAAGAGAGGAAGGTGTGTTGCAAACCAAGCTTCTTTTGGTTGAAAAAATGTGAGTACTTATAAATGGAAGAATATTAAAATAATTTAGAATATCTTTGAGTTATTAAAAGAGTAAAAATTTGGGCTCCTTAATAAAAAATATGATCTCCACTTTAGTCTCTTATAATAAAAGTTTAATCCAAGATCTCTAAGAAATTCAAAGTGGATCCATTTAGTTGAAATTATGGTCCCTCATAAATTTCAAAAAGAGCCACATTAATCCTTCAGAAGAACTAAGAGCCGGTTTGTTTTGCCTTCCAGAAAAAATAATTTTTATTTCTTCCTTATTTTAAAAGTAATTTTTACTAAATTTAAAGCAATTTATATTTTTACAAGAATATTTAGTTTTTGACAAAAAAAAGTGACTTTTGACTTTTACTTTATTTAGAAGTTAAAATTTTCAGCTTCTAAAAAAAAGTAAATTTTTAGCTTCTTTTGTAACTTCTGTTTTTCTTAAAAGTAGACGTCCAAAAGAATTTAAAGTGAAAAAAGCTCATCCAAACCGGTTCTAAAATGAATCCACTTTAAATTCCATAAGGATCAGATGACTAAATTTTTTTTATAAAGGATAAGAATCATATTTTTTTTGTTAGGAAAAAAAAAATACTTTATTCTTATTAAAAGTTTGATTTCATTTGAGGCGACTTGAATTGAATTGTTTTCACTTGACTTACTAGTTACTTGTTTGACATAGTTTATTCAAGGGTTATTTTATTTAATAAATATTATGTCTAAATATGATAAGATAAACCAAGAAACACGGGGAGGATATAAAAATTAATTATTTTGTTTGCATCCAGCTAAAAGTAGCTGTATGTATGGTTTCGGATCTTTAATTGAAAGGGCCCTCCGGTAAGTGTTTTCCGCAGTACATTGAATTTTAGGTCCTGAGAGTGTGATATACATCACTTTCAAATTTTATTGAATGCAATATTGATTGTGGACTTTTTTTTTTCTCTCCAAACTCTTCTCTCTCTTTAAAAACAAAATAAAAACACTTCGTCCATTTAGATGTTTGTTTGTTTTTTTTTTAAAAAAAGTATAAATTAAAAAAAGCCAGAACTTTATTTTTTTTTAAAGCTAAAAATTTTAGCTTTTAAAAAATATAGAAATTAAAAGTCAAATATTTTTTTCAAAAATCAAATATTTTTTTAAAATCTAGATAATTTTAAATTTTATATAAAATATTTCTAAAATAAATAAAATATAAAAAAGCCTTTTTTTTTTTTTTTTTTTTTTTTTTTTTTACAAACTCGTTCAAACGGGCTATACCAAAATATCCAGACAAATAGACATGGATTTGAATGTGAACACGTTACCTTAGAGTACTAAATCTACTATTTTGTTTTAATAATTGGTCACACTGCATATAGGAAATATTTCTTAAATATCGTATAGTATCGATAAAGTAATTTTAATATGGATGAGACAAATATTTAGATCTTGCGTACAAGAAGGAGTAGAATTTCTTAAGAAATACTTTGGATTATGTATTTAAATATGAATCCATTAGTGCCACGCCTAATTAATTTTATCTAACTTTCGCTATCTCAACATTGAATTTTGCTAATCTATTTACAAGCTTCACATATTATCATATTATTAAAACATATCATTATGTTTTAATACATGTTTTAGGGGAAGGATCCGTTTATAAATTTTTTTGAATTTTTTTTACAAATTACACTATCTTCTCCCGGGAGAACATAGTGTAGTTTGTAAATATAATCTGCCCCTATATTTTAATAATCTCCTCGAAATCAGTTTTTTTTTAATTTTATTCTCGAGAATAGAAATGAATAAAAAACTCATTTGATAAAATCGGTTTATTTTTTTGTTCTTGAAATGAACTAATTTAATTTTTCTGCTGGAAAACATAAAAAAGAATCAAAAAATTTCTATTTTTTTTGTTTCCGGGGCACAAAATAAGAAACACTTGTCTCTCTCAATCACCTTCCTTCACTACCACCGCCACCATCATCGTAGTCACCGCCGTCACTGCCACCGCCACCAACCACCACCATCATCGTAGCCACTACCGTCACCACCACCACCAACATCGCCACCACCACCATCGCCGCAGCCACTACTGTCACCACCACCACCACCATACAACCACTATCATTGTCACGTCACCACTACCGTCACTACCACGCCGCCACCATCACCACCACCACTATCATCGCCCTGCCATCACCATCGCCACTACCACGCCACCACCACCACCACCATTACTACCACCACCACGCCACCGTCACCACACCACACCATATGAAAATGAAAGTGATGATTCGAAAAAAATTATGCTTAATAGGAATTATTTTTATTATATTATTTGTTATGTTATCAAACACAATTCTCATTCTCGAAAAAAATAAAATATGTTATCAAACACATTCTTTTTTTCTCAGAAACTGTTTCATGGCACAGAAATAGAAAATAATTGTTTCCTTTAAGAAATAGTGCTACAAAACAAAATGGTTGTCATGTACATCCCTCCTCTAATGAAATTATGAGAATGTTACTGTGAAGGAAAATTTAATGATAATTGTTAGATGGGCTATATGTGTTTATTTGGAATATATCCTTGATATTATTAACTATATAGGCTACTTAATTTACTGTGTTGGATGATAGGCCTTTATTTTGAATGTTGGGTGTATTTTAGATGTTATTAGTGGTTGACTTCATTTTGCTATGTATAATATGCTACAAAATGCTTGCTATTAAATGATTTTCCATTAAAGAGTTATGCTTAATCAAGTTGATTAGTTGATGTGGACATTGAGTTTTATTTATATTGGTAATAACTTCGCGAGCAGTATACTATAATAAGTAAATAAAAAATGCACAAGCAACTAATAAGATAGATTAAATACATGTCAGGTCATTATTATTAAATCTGATTTGGGCATCGATTCGATCAGGATACTAGGTTACTAGTCGGATCGGTGGATCACTGGTCAGACTGGTTGACCCGGATATATATATATATATATATATATATATATATATATATATATGAACATATAAATTTAATTATATTCTCCATATTTAAATGAGTTAAACAAGTATTTTCAAAAAATAATTGAGTTAAACAACGTTCACTAAATAAACTCAAAAATTACTCGATCACATCTTTACAAGTTCATAATTAATCAATAAATTGCACAAAATAAGCACAAATAAATAAAAGTTGACGCTATTACTATGTGAATTTAGATTACAACTTAGAATTATCATAAGCATATCTCTCAATGACGTCCAAAAGGGAAGATATTGTGAACTCATATTTTTCAAATTCATATGTCATTGAAATGACATATGTCACATTTTCTAATTTATTGTTCAACAAATGGTTTCAGTTTTGGAAACTAAAATCGGTGGTCATTATAAAAGAGTACACTACTAGCAAATAAAATTACAAAAGTTTTTAAAATGAGTTCTACATTTTTTCAAATAAGATGAAACAACTTTGGTTTTTGGTTGTTGGTTTATTTTATTTTTTTATGAAAATGTATGATCCGCCGATTTTTATGACCCGATCGGGTCACCAATTTTGACCTATTTGACCGAATCTGATACATAGCCGATTTGATACTTAATTCGTTTCGATCCAATAACTGATTCACCAGATTTTGGATTGACCCGATCATGTCAGACCGGGTTTGATAACATGTGTCAGGCTATTATAATTATATTTATATCATATTATTTTATCTTTACGTATATGATAAATATAAAACTTCCCAAGATAGATGTGATTGAACGAGAAGCATATTCAATCATCCTTCTACAAATTGAGGAAAGATAAATAAAATCCAAAAATAGACAGGAAGAAGAAGAAGAAAAATGTCAAGCTGTTTTTGGTCCTGATATGACAAGTTATGGTCCAGAAAATGATAAGACAAGGATATCCTGGAAGGAGTAGTCAAAAACAAAGCAAACTCTAGTGTATCTTTTATGGTTGAGCTTGTGACAGTGAACCATATTTGAGGTACGGGTACCTACTCTCAACCAATTAAAAGAGACAAGATAAAACCAATCCCTGACTACCAAATTAAATATTAGCATTTGTTCACTCAGTTGCCAGAGAGGCTATAACATATACTCGGACGATTTTCCTTACTATGATTGAGTACTGAGCTAAATCCCTGAAATAAACCCATAATGAGGAGTTCACTTCAATGATTAAGTGTTACAGTGTCTATGATTCTAGTCTTCTCAACTCTTTTTCTACTTCAAATACAATATTAGTGTGTATCATTTTAAAGGACATAAAATTATACCATTTTAAGTAAAAGAAATATATAAGTCATAGGGGAGAAAATGGAGAGAAATTTTTTTAAAGATGTGGGTCTCACCTCTTTGTGAGAGTCAAAGGATATAAGATATGTCATTTAAAATAACACACATTTTTTCCATTTTCTTTGAACAATCATGTACCTAATACTGCCTTGTAAGAATTATGTACCATATGTATATTTGCCAAAATGGGCTTGAGGTATTTATTTCCTTTTTTTTTTCAATTCTAAAACAGGAATAGACAGTTAACAATTAAAAAAAAAAAAAAACTAAGTGGAAGTTGAACGACATATGAACATTAAGATGATAAGTAACTATTGGGTACAGGCCCTTTCTTTTTTTTGGTATCGAACTATTGGGTACTGGCCTTATCCCGATAAGGAGTTATCAATTTTCCTAAAAAACTCCATCAATTCAATTATCAATTTCTAGACCATATTACTTATTTCTAACTTATTTTAAATAATTGAATATCTAAGAGTAATTAATCATGCTTTTGATATTTCTTTTAACATGTTAAGTTTATTGAACGTTATAATTTTTAAAATTTTATTGAAATGAAAACCAACTTTAAATTAAGGAAACAATATTTATGTTTTTGTTGCATAATTTCTTTTTTGTCACACTCGCATAAAAGTGAGTGAGTCATACTAATCTTTTTCTCTCTTTTTTTACAATTGGACGCACTCACTTTTATGTGAGTGTGGTAAACAATATTTTTTTTGCAACAAAAGCAAAATCATTAAACTCTTAAATTAATATAGAGTTAGATTACCAAAAAAAATTAATAGAGTTAACCTGTGCGATATAGAAATACAATGGTGTAAAAAGAAATTAAAAATTTGAAACTTCAAATTTACAATAGGATGTTAATAAATTCTTTTCAATAAGAAGTTAGGAAAAATATTTCTGCAGTTGTTGCAGAAGTTTTTATCTCCCACACACAATGTAGACATGTATATAAGATGATATGATTTGATTGATTTGTGCTTCTTGACCAATGAATGCATATTTGTATGTATCTTCCATAAGGGACACAAGCCTCGGAAGTGTATGATCTTTAAGGACACAAGCCTTTGGATCATCACGTATGATCTTCCGTGAGGATCCAGGTTTCCGGATGATCTTGTTAAGACTATATGTGGGAGGACACAAGCTCCTGGAAGTCTCATGTGTATTATGATTTATATATGATGTCTTATATACCATGTAATATGACCTTTCATGTAGGAAGTGAACTCATGGGTGGAAACTGCTTTATAAATTCTGAGATTACTGAGATGTTATAATATCACCCCGTTTGGGAAACATGTTTCAGGTACTCCCATAACAGATGATGGGCCCTCACAGGACAAGAGCCGTACAAGGTTAGAGGACTCATGTTGATTGGATATTTAATATTTTAGAATAACTGTATATTTTGTGGAGCATGTTGTATGACCATGCATCGTTATATGATCTGTTATGTATTTTGAGACATATGTTTATCTATGATGAATATAGTTTGTAATTAAGCATGTGTAGCTTATGTACATTTTGAATACTATTAATATTGGTATGCATATAAATATATGCCTGATATGTAAGATGATGTGAGTATTGGCACGAAACCATATTTTGTATGAATCTAAGGATGGATTTTAAGTTCATTGTGTTGGACGGTTGAATATATGTTTGGACTATGTTTTCTGGTTTTCAGGTACTACTTATGAGTGGGAAATAATCCTTAGATATCCAGTTTACAACTGTTATGTTGTCCATAAGCTTCTATCTAGAATGGTATAAGTTATCATATTCGGATAGTAATTGACCTTTAGTCATGGTTACACGATTGTTAAGTTGGAATTTAGTACGGATATGGGACGGTACAATTTATGATAATACGAAAAATACAATATACATGACAATACATAAGGAAAAGAAAAGGAAAAAGTTAAGTCACATGACATAGTTACATAAGTTAACAGTAATACTTTATTCAATGTCTTTCGCTTAATAATTTGAGCATGTTGCGCTTTTAATTACCATATTGTATGTTAACAAACCAGCTGCAGACGGGGGGTGTTACACTGTTACTGACATCACATATTGCCATGTGAAAAATATGTCATGTAATGCGCTGAACAATGTAGAGTGTTTGAGCCACGTGTCATAAAGCTTCCATGTAACGTGATGTACAGTGTAGCGCGTTTAAGCCACGTGTCAAAAAGTGCCACGTAACGTGTTGTACAATATAACATGTTAGGCCACATGTTCAGCTTTTTGCAAACTGTGCAGTCTAACCCGTTGACTAATCTAACGCGCTTTACTGTTCCACGAGTTACATAGCCTCAAACAAACTGTCACGTGTCCTGACGTAACACGCTACATGTTGTAACGACTTACGTGACGTGTTTTTTTTTTTCAAATTATATTTGGCAGATAGTATTTCGATAAATAATAATGAACAGTGTGTCAAAAGTGTCGTTGTCCCAATAGAAAATAACAAACCTTGGCAATCTGTAGGGCAAGGAATGCAACCCAAACGAAAACGAGAAGTCCAAGCTCCTTCCAATATACATTTTCTAGAACAGTCACCTGCAATGTCCATATTTAATTAGATATTAAAAACCACACTAATCCATAAGAACTCACTAGAGTATTATGACCTCATGTTTTTAGGTGTCATTTGCAATGTCATTGTTAGATCCAGTAGGAATTGGTCTGTATTCTACTTCAGCCCCAGCACCTGTCAAAGGGAAAATTGCATAAAACTCCAACAACAGAGAGAAAAATGTTAGCCTCCCTTCTGACATGGGTGAATTGAATTTCCCACTCCTTAATACAGTTAATCGCATGAGAGCAAATTCCTGACGGAGATCCTCTATTGATAGTTGCCCAAAGCTCCGCAGTCAAGGGGTTGCAAAATCCAATGCTGTAAGTGAATCCCTTCACCCAATAAGACCGCCAGAAGAAGCCGAATTCGAATAAATCTTTGTTGTTACTGTTGCACTTAGATTCAGTGTATCCCACTACTAGGAGCATTACACAAAAGAGAAAAGAGAAAAAATTTGGTAAAGAAAAGAAAACTTTAACTGACATCATATAATATTTTTATTGGTGAGATGTACTGAATCTTTGGTACAACAGCAGCACCAAAGATTTATTCGCTCTATTGGTGCTCTTCCTCACAACCCCAAAAAGTATACTATCTTCTATCTTAAGAAAGAGTGAATTTTATTCTTTGTTTTTTTTTTTTTTGTTGAGTAATTTTATTCTATGCTTTTACTTAAGCAAAATACCGTTTCTATCAAAGAGAAAAACTACTCTTATGTTATATGTGATAGAACCCACAAGTTTATCTCTATGACATGAGATAACTTATCTCCTTTAACATGAGATTAATAAAACCCTTCTATCAAAACACATTAACTTTTTCATTAAAATCTACTAACATATAAAAGAATAGCTTTAATTTTTTTTTATATTACAACGATAGTCAAACCAAAAATATAACTTTTGTAATTTAATTTTATTGCTGTTTAGTTCTACATTTTTTGTGTGGCTAAAGGGAGTAAAATAAATATTTTAAAGTTATTGATTTGCATGATTAACCTATAGTAACCGTGTTAGAATAGATATATCATACAATAAAGAAATATATATATTTTAGGTTCTATGACTCTTAATTACTATCCTTGTTTATACATAATTAACTCATGAACCTTAGTTTTCCGTCATCTTTCACAATTTTTCCACTATTATATTCAAATATAATTTCCATTTAATAATTTATGAAGAATTGTATGGTACATCTCCTCCGGACATACAAGGTTTAAAGCTTCCATTAATAGAAACTTCCTTGTAACCTTTATAATTTAAATAAAACACACCATCTCTCACCGGGTGTAGCAGAGGCAAACAACAACAACAGAATATGTGTGCAACTAAATAAATACGTGAAACTCCTCTATCCAGCATACTTGCATAGGTCCTCGAATCCCATGTATTCATTCCTTTGAATCTTCATAACCATGTCTGATATACCAATTCCACCTACACACAGCCATAGAAGTGAAAGCTATGTAAGCAAGATGCTGGTTCTTACAAGGCCAGGCAAAGAAGAATAAAGTGTCATGGACCAACTTTTCAAAAGCTTCAAGCTCTTGTGAAAATGCACATGAATAGTTGTATTTTATCTTTAGAACATATAATGCATGCAAGAATCTTTTTTGGATTTTGAAGCGTAGATAATGCACAAACACGTTAATATATGTTATCAGTTTATTTCCCTCGAAAACTTAAGTTATTAGGGATTGACAGATAAATGATTTTATTATATATCTCACAAATTGTAAATGTAAAAACTCGATCTTTTGACCCATTTAATGTGAAAAGGGAAACATTTTCCCTCGTTGATTCAAAAGCCAAATATTTTGCTAAAATAATAGAGTAAGACAATTATGGGAATTGCAAGTTGCTCATGGGGTAAAGCATGACTTGTACAAAAGTCAGTGCACATTTGCCACTTGTTGAGCAATGCAAGTCGCAAATCGCCCCATGCCCAACTTGAAGATAGACACCACTATGTGTCACTTGCAACACGCGACATATTGGCTTTTTCACAAGTCGGACATCACCTTATGTGCGATTTAGACGTGCATACCACATACACATCTAACCATATTATTTTAGCAAAATATTTGAATTTTGAATTATCACGGGAAATATTTCTTTTTGACATTATTATTGTCAAAAGGGCCGAAAGACTACGCTCTCTACAAAGACAAAAGCGAACTTAGCAAGCAGCAACTCATAACAACAGCATAAAAACTCACCTAGTGCAATTGTACTAATAAATATTGTGAAAGCCACTACGAAGATAATCAAAGAGGCCCTTTGGAAGACACTAACAAGCTTGTCAATGATACGCTGTCCTATGTATGCAGCAATGGCAGACACAAGGGTAAGGTAGAGAGCTGTAAAACAGAATGAAACAAGGATATTATTACCTGAAACATATTGACTTTGAAAACCATTCAGAATAAATTGAAGTAAAAACTTTCACCATAAGGAACAGGAAAACGATTCAAGAGGTAATATTGTACAACAGATATAGATGCTGAGAATGTCATTCCCAAAGTGGCTGTTGCACTTGCTACCTGCACCATTATGAAACATAAGAAGATAACTATATCTTCACCAATTTATATAATGAAATAACACAGGTGAAGGTGCTAACAGAACTCACCTGAGGAGCAATTCCCAATTCAAGAAATAAAGGACCCATCACAAATCCACTACCTATACCAAGAAGTCCACCAATAATTCCAGCCACCAGACCACACATAAGGGATAGAATTAGATGGTGCAATTTCCAATGTGTGATTTGACCTTCGTTGGAAGCAATAGCTCTCCACCCTTGATATAGGCCAACTGCTTCATACAGATATACCCCTAGAGAAGGTGGTATCTTCAAAACATAAAATATAATGCTTCCAGATAGTAAGTAACGCACACTAATATTTGGCACAATGGAAAAGAAAGGACACAAATGTAATAGGTTTACCTCTAACAAAAAAAGTATCCAGTATGCTATTGAACAAGAAGGTGTATAAGTCTGTTAAAAGTGAATCATTTTAATGATTAGTTCAAATAAATATACAAGTAAAATGAGGGATGTAATGCAAGTTTTGATTCTACCAGCAGAGAGAGAAAATTACTTTGGCAACATGTAAGACTAGATGTGCAAGCCACACAAAACAAAGAAGTCCAAACTCCTTCCAATAAATGTTGCCTATTATGGTCCCCTGCATTCATAGTTGCATTCCAATATTGCATATAAGAACTGATTAGATTATATAAAGAAAGACAATTTCACAGCATGCCAACCTCAGGTTTTCTAGTTTCCTTTTGAGGCCCACCATCTGGAAGACACTTGTATTCCTCTTCCCCACTGCAACTGGCTGGAACAAAAGGGTCATTTCATATGCTTAGTTTATATATATATATATATATATATATATATATATATATATATATATATATATATGGGCTTATCATTTCTGCAGCCGCCGTAGATAACACTCTCTACAGCTGACACAGAAAAGTGGGCCCACCCACGGTGTTTTAAAAAAAAAAAAACAAAGATCCGGTGCCATATCCTAGGATCCCCACGCGGATCCTGACTACTGTAGGTACAGCGGCTGCAGAAATCATTTTGCCTATATATATATATATATATATATATATTGAGATTCTATCTTGTGACCATGTCAAGTCTTTTTCATGAACAGAACCAATAAATAAACTCACCAGTAGACTCCAAAAGCTTGACAGTCTCCTGAGACTCCAAAAGATCGAAAAGGTAGGTTTAGAATTATAATTGTGCTTGCACAAAAAATACAGTGACATATATAACCAGGGGCATAAAATTGTAAAAGTATAAGTTCACCAAATCTCTGTAATATTTGAGGTATTTACCTCTTTTATTATGGTTTCCTTTTTCCATGTTTCAACACCCTTGAAGAACGCTTTGATTGATGTTCCTACAGGTCCCAATATAACAAATCAGCCATATGACTGAGTGAAAATTTTAAGTGGAGTTGAAGTACATGTCTTCTAACATTACCTATAAAGAGAATAATTAGAAGAACAGTGATCATCCAATCCGCAAACATTACACTTAAAACGACTCCTATGCTAATACCAAGCAGGATAATGGGTTGGATAAGCAGCACCAAATCATAGTCGATAATGGGTCTATCAAGTGTGGGATGCTTTAGCTTCAAGTTGAAGAATACAGTTGAGATCGCTGCACCCATGATCATACCTGAAACAGACACAATAAATGGTAAAAAATTAGTTCAAAAACAAGTTTCTTCAATAAACCAATCTTGAAAGAAACATTCAGAAAACAGCATAAACATTATTTCTAAATAGGTAAATGCTGAAGAATATTCAGTTATATTATCATTGAGATGTAGACAGAATCTTACACTTTGAGATAGCAGTGGCTGATTTTGGATCAAACCCAATAATCAAAATTAGCATTGGTACAAAGATGCCCCCACCACCAACTCCCCCTACACTTCCACATGTCGCTCCCAAGATTCCAATCAAGGTGCCAACAATTATTCGCCAGCCAAATTCCATTTCCTATGAATTCATAAGTGAGCAATCAAATTTGATGTTTCTTAATCCCGGAGTACAGGTAAGTAATTGGCAAAAATTACAGATTTCATATACAATCATACATGTACATATAAATAGAAAATATAACATATATATATATATATATATATTCACATTGGAACACCTACATGTTTATCTAGAGAGTGATATACCCAAATCTACACACCATCAAGTGCTCCTTATTTTAGAATATATATCTAATATTGTAAAAAATAAAATTAAAAACACTCTCTTATATTCGAATCCGGCAACTTTCAGTTACAAAATAAAGTTTTATCACTAGTGTAGGCTAGTCCCCTTTCATATATCTATATCTAATATTTTATTCCAAGGAAATAACTCCTTTGGTAAACCAAAGAGCTTCCTTTGTTAATTTTGTCTCCATTTAAAAAGGTCACTGAAGAAGCAATCAAGGTAAGAAAGTTGAGTAAGATTGACTCATGAAGAAAGGCCATGTAATGGTAATTAAGAAACAACATGTAATGAATACAAGTAACTTACTGGCCAGACATGTTGATAACCTGAATGACTCCATAAGAACTCCATAGCTTTGACAATGTAAGTAAAAGGTTGTGTTCCATTTGTAGCAGATATTTCACTTTCAGTGCTTCCTATAGCAGAAACAAAGACAACAAGAAGCAAAAAATTGAATGAAACAATAACCACATTTCTCATATTTCTCATGATCACAGCCAATTTGCTCCAAGCATGGAAAGCTCTAAGAAGAGAGGAAGGTGTGTTGCAAAGCAAGCAAGCATCTTTTGGTTGAAAAAACGAGGGTACTGATACATGGATGAATATTAAAATCAAGGGAAATATTACTCTTGATTTGTGAGTACATTTTTAGAAAAGTTCTCTCATATCACATAATAGTAATATTTTTTTAAAATTTATATTTACAAACTTTTTGCTTATAACTTCTTACAAATTATATTATGTCTGATATGATATAACTCTTGAGTAGAGTATTATTCATCAGATATAATATAATTTATAAGTTTATAAAAAAAATCTTGTCCACGTAATCTTATTCTTAAACTTATTTAGGAGATTTTTTAGTTATTAAAAGTTTGATATGATTTGAGGTGACTTGAATTGAATTGATTTGAGTTAATTTACTTGTTTGACTTAGTTTATTTAAGGGTTAATTTATTTCATAACTTTATAATAGTTAAAAATAAACCAAGAAGCACGTGGATGATATAAAAATTAATTCTTTTGTTTGGAACCTGCTAGAAAGTAGTTGAACGGATGGTTTCGGATCTTTAACTGAACTGAATGGGCCCTCCTGTAAGTGTTTTCGCAGTACGTTGATATCCGAGAGTATGGTAGTTAAAAATTTTTTTTATTTATATTTTTATGATTTTTTTATCAAAATATTTTTATCGATATTTTAAGTTTTTTTATGTTTTTATTTTTGATTTTTTTATATTATGATTTTTTATTTTATGATTTGTTTTTACTTTCCTTTTGTTTTTATATAAAATCTTATTTTTAACTATTTTGCGTCCGAGTGTGATATACATCACTTTCAAATTTTATTTTATTTTTCTTATAAATCAAAACCTTAGGAGAATAATAAGGTTGTGTTTGATTTGTTAAAAAAATAAGAACGATATAGCACCCAAAAAAATTGCGTTTCGTTTGACTTGTAAAATAATAAAAGTAGCATAAATATCTTATTTTTTTTTATTTTTTTTTGTAATAAAGAGGGGCAAAAGCCCCAAACAAAACAAAAATTACACGACGCGAGAACTTAAGAGATCTACAGAAGCATCCTGAAGAAGGAGCTCTAACAAAGGAGAAGGAGGAGAATGATAAACAATAAGATTATTATCATCCTCAAAATGCCTAGAAGCAAACCAGTGAGCACATATGTTATTTTCTCGAAAGGTGTGAATCCATCGAACATCCCAATCTTCAGCAAGCCATTTGTGAATATCTTAATTTTTGTTAGGGTAAAACACTTCTCCTATTAATAGGACAGAATCCACTAAATTAGATGAGTGTGTAGGGATAATTTAACTTCTCTTGTTAAAAAGAGGTTTAAATCCCTTTTTCTTATCCATTAAATGAAGGGATAAAATTTTGTCACAGTATAAAAACAAAGAGAAAAATAAAAAATAAAAACCCTTATCCCTTAATTCTCTCGGCTTTTTATTTTTGGTAAACTTCTCCCAGCGTTCTTTAATTGAAGGGAAAATTTCAAAAATTCTTGTGTAAGTTTTTTCAGAATTACTTATCCCCCTCTTCAAAAATTTAGTTATTTACACTCCTACTTAAATTTTTTTAATCACTTATTCCCCTAACTTGATTTTTCTTCCAAGTTAAAGTTAACGAAGTTAATTTTAAAAAAAAAATACCAAACCTATCTTTAAAACAAAAAGAAGAAATTAACCTTTAATACCAAAACTACCCCAAAATACTATGCACACGAATAATTCGATCACAATAATAGAAATTAGATCAAAGCATTTGCAATTGCAATAACTTGAATCTATTTGAAAGAGAAAAAGGAAATTGAAGTCATAATTAATCAGAGCTAGCTCATTTGTGGCATTAAAATTAATCTCATAGACTAATGTAAAAGTTTGAATATATATATATATATATATATATATATATATAGGGCTTAACATTTCTGCAGCAGCCGTAGATAGTGTTATCTACAGTTGACACAGAAAAGTGGGCCCCACGACTTTTTAAAAAAAAAAAAAAATCTCAGGATCTGTTGCCGTATCCTAGGATTCGGACGCGGATCCTTGCTTGCTGTAGGTACAGCAGCTGCAGAAATCATTTTGCCATATATATATATATATTTATATATATATATATATATATATATATATATTAATCTGAATTTACAATAAATCTCAATGATCAAATAATGAACACTAAAAGTCTGAAACTGTAAGGTATGTATCCCATACATATAAGAAGTATGTCACAATTTTCAAATCAAATACACAAATTAAAAAAAAAAACACCACAGCATACAAGGGACATCATACAATTATTGTAATATTTCCTCAAACTACGTACAACAGTTAAACGTAAAAACTTCACAACAAAAACACAACAATGGCTTTTATTTTCCTAGACATAATGCATGGTTTAATATTTGGAATAGCCATTTTAACTCAATTTTCTCTACTGCATATTTTTCTAATCTAACCTTGTGTGCCAGTTAGTGGGCTAAGGTTGTCCATCTTGATTATCGCATTACCAAAATCTAGTATGAAGAGTAATGAGTTTGTGGCATACTCTAAAACTTTTTGAATCGTGAAACCATCATTGAAGAGTTGTTGGTCAGAGTGAAAAAGACCCTTTTTGTTAACCAAATTTCTGTAGTAAGCACTTTCAAAAAAATTCTTGGTGCAGTGTGTTATCTCTTGCTAGCAATAAGGTGTTAGTCTATGCAAAATTCATACTTTAAGCCCAAAGGTTTTCGTATGAGTGAGTGTGTAAGTGAATAATATAAACTATTATAAAGACCTTCATCCAACACCTTAAAATTATAATAATTATAATTTTATTGTTAGTAAATTTTTGAATTAATCATTCTCTGATTTAAGAGTTAGTCTTCTAACCAGTAAAAAATGAATTGCTAGCAACTATAAAGACCATTTTGTACGAAAATAACTTGTTGCTTTTATTGGATTTTTTGAACTCTTTTACCGTGAATATACCAATATGCCTAAATTTTAGGTGAAATATATATATATATATCTGCGTGACTCCGACTTGACTTGTAACCTAGAACGCACTTATACACTACCGCTTCCCGTTGAATTCTTTTTGGGATTGACGCACTGACACGCGGCTGAGAGGGGACTGCCTCTTGGGAATGGGACGTGATTGTCAGGGTATCACGTTCCAGTGGTCTTGGGAATAGGACGTGATTGTCAGGGTATCACGTTCCAGTGGTGCAGGAACAAATACAAAGGACGCGGTTGCTAAAGTGTCACGTCCTAAAGTGATTCCCACAGTACCGCGACGTTATGCATTATATAGATAATACGTTTGACCAAGAAATTATTCCTGCAAAACTTTACGAAAATGAGATTACTAAGGTCAAAAAGCCCTATTATTGAGTTCAAGATTTCTGGGGGTTCTTCCAAAAAAAGAAGAGATTTTTATTCAGACAGCACACTTCTCAAAACAAAAACAAAAAAGTATTTGAGAAAGGAATGGAGAGACAGAGATACGAAAGGGAACTGAAGTGAGAAAGGAGAAGAGTTCAGAGATTTTTAGAATAGAATGATGTGATTAGAGCATTAATATTAGAGACAAACAGTGGGAACAAGAGAAAATGGTTAATGAATCATGTGATAAAGCCTAACGTTATAAAATATGGGTTTTATAAGAGTTATATTCTAGGAAAATTGATTGTGTAATGTCATAGAGATTCGTTCTGTATGTTTTAGTTTTTTTTTTTTTTTTTTTTTTAAATGCGGGCCCCAAAAAATATTGTGTGAATAGGAAACTTTTTTGTGTTATGTTAAAGGACAAAATGAAAACCCATAAAATATATATACAATGAATATTGGTGAAATTCATTTTTGAGTATTGGCATACATATATAAAAGAGTAAATACATTTTTTAGTCCTTAGCAAATTTCATGATACCCGCTTTAGTCTCTAGCAAATAAAAAGGCCCATTGTGATCCTTAAAAAATTCAAAATGAACCTATTTAGTTGAAATCGTGATTCCTCACAAATTCAAAAAAGACTCATATTAGTCCTCAAAATGACTAAAATGAATCCATTTTGAATTTTTTAGGAATCATGATGGGTCTTTTTATTTGTTAGGGACTAAAACGGGTATCGTGAAATTTGCTAAGGACCAAAAAGATATTTACTCTATATAAAAATTATTATTCAGCTTAAATTTTTTTGATTGAATTGATTTTTTATATGATTTTACAGCTTCAGTGTCCTGAATTGATTTTCACTGTCCCTCATTTATTGTGTGAAATTTTTTAGCACAATTGAGTTCGATCTACTTTTATAGCCCAATAGACTCTTTTGAGAAGACATGTTAAAGATATATAAAAAATATTAATATAATTGTATTCAAAAATTTAAATTTTTGGATTAAATTAATTATTTATAAATATATTTACCTATTAATCTATGACACATAAGCATTTTCTTTCTTTCTTTGGGTGTCAAGAAAAATATGAGTTGTGTTATCTATTTAAATTTGTGTCCCCCCGAGACTTGTTGAAATGGAAATAAGAGGATATTGTCAAGCAAGTGTGAAATGGTAGTGTTGATTTCTCTCCAAGTTTTTTTGTCTTTACTTGTGGATGGCTGTACCTTTTTCTTTTTTCTATATCCTTTTGTTGTATGAATGCATGATAATACTTGGTAAGTGCAAGGCTGTACCTTTTTTTTTTTTTTTGGTATGCTTTTTTGTTTTTTTATTAACCTGTGGGTGAACGGGAACACTGACCAAAATGCCACTCTTCACCAATTTTTTTATCTAAATGCCACGCGGGCAAGTTCGCTACCCAGTGTAGCGAACTCGGTTTGCTGACGTGTCACATTTCTAGTGGATAACAAGTACCAAGTTAAAAAAAAAAGGGTGTGAAGTTCATTACATTGGGTAGCGAATTTGGTTAAAACCAAGTTCGTTACCGTGTAACGAATTTGGTGTCCACTAGAAACGTGACACATCAGCAAATCGAGTTCGCTACACTGGGTAGCGAACTTGCCATTGAAAAATAACACTGTTCGTGTGGCATTTAGGTAAAAAAGTTGGTGAACAGTGACATGTTCCTGGGTCAACGTGTAGTAGACTAGTAGGTATTAGAAAAGTCATATGGCATGATCGGAAGAAGCTTTCACAGGGAAAGATGATTTGCATGCCTTTTGATCGTACTAAATCCATTTTTAAAAAGTTTGATCGAATTAAGTTCCTGATTAAATCTATTACCAAATTAATATAGAACAACGCGATGGAAAGATCATCGTGTTAAGACATATTCTGATCACTATCATGATACATGTTAGTATGACACAATGCAAGTTTTTGGGTCACAATTGTTTCAACAAACATGACGAAATCGAGATCGGGACAGTAGTGGCCGAGATCGGAATTATCAAAAAAAGAAGAAGCAAATCAAACAAAAATAAAAACCTCCAAACATTGATTAGAGGTGGACCATCACAAAAGATTCAACATCTATTAAATTGGATCAAAGTCTATGTTCCTATGAAGTTCGACCTTACTACAAGGATGACGACACCTTACTCCGCGATCCAGTTTGAAGATATGACTCAGATAAGGAAATTATTCATTCTACCTTAATTTGATTTGATTTACTTCTTCTTTATCATATGTCTCAAATAAATAAAGAAAAAAAAAAGTGAGTAAGGAAACAATCAAGCCTTAGAAGAAAAATGCAACAAAGACTCGTTAAGTCGAAGCAAATCAAGCCTTAGAGGAAAAGGCAACAAGAGCCTACATTCCAGGGACATTTTTTGGCACAAATCAATACGAGACTTCTCCCACCGTTCAAAATATCGGATCAGAAAATAAAGCATGATAAGTTTTCTTATATTGATTTTTATTCCGATAATATTGTTCATAAGTTTTACAAATAACAGGTTATGGTTACACCAAGGAACCACTCATAGAAACTATGATTTTAGTTCTTGGCATTGTGAAACCATCCTATCACTAATATTTTTCCAAAGAAAAAATTGATATGCAGGGCAATAAATGTCGGCTCCAGCATATGAAACAGGCATATAGACGAGGAAAGCTACCATATGGTGCAACACGGTTCTAAATTATGCAGTTGGTTTATAACATAGATAAATATGTTTGTGTCATTTTGAAGAGTTCAAGTGCAGTACTCGACTATATCTCAAGCTATAGGACTCGGCTACATCTCAAGCTATATACCTGGTCAGTTATGCACAATGCAATATTAGAGCCCCACCAAGCAGCACGACCGTCATATTGCCAAAATTATAATTCTCCATAATTCATGACATCGGCTCTTGTTTTTGGATTCTGACCATGGACCCTCGGACAACTGGGAGAGTTTTAAAAAACAAAAAATGGCAATCATGGTTTTATTGAAAAGGCTAGAGCTTATTACAATATTGGTAGAGCCTACCCATTCTACTTGGCAGCAAAACAAATGTCTTGGACCTTAAATATAACAACATCTTTTGAAGGAAAATTCATGCATAATCAACTCTGATGTTATATCCTCCCCACTGCTGGAGTTGTTCTCTATTACAAGCAAGATAACTGGAGAATAACAGGGAAGTATTCTTTTTCCTTATTTTTGTATCCCATTAATCGTTATTGTGCTCTTTATACGACTTCTTTCCTGACAAAATTTCCACATGTTGTGAAGTTTAAGCACTTACATGCCACATGCACAGCCCAAACATGAGTCTTGTAATTGTTATATGAGAAATATGTTGACAAAAGTAGGTCGGCAAATTGGCCACGGCCCTCAATAGTTAAGCAAATTGGCCGTATAGGCGAGCTCTAAAGCTTTGGACTCTAAATTCAGAGATCAAATGCATCCCGGCTACAACATTGAGAATCGAGATAAAAAGTAAAGATGAAGACGGAATTGGAGAAATGTGGTCCTGGCAAAAGGATTCACACCCCAATCTGAAATCTAAATATGAAGACAGATTGCAATCCTTACGACAGGATTGAACTTATATCCGAGATAAAATGAAGATGGATTTGGAGAGATGCGGACTTGAAAAAAGGATCACACCCTAATCTGTGATATAATGAAGACGGGTTTGGAGAGATGTGGACCTGAAAAAAGGATCACACCCCAATCCAAGATAAAATGAAGACGGGTTTGGAGAGATGTGACCTGGAAAAAGGATCACACCCCAATTCGCGATAAAATGAAGATGATTTTGGAGAGATGTGGACCTGGAAAAATGATCACACCCCAATCCGCGATAAAGACCCAGGATAAAAATCCATGGTAAATGAAACTCTGGCAATAAGCCGAGTTAAATATTATGAAACCAAGGTATTGGAAACCTACGTCTAGCAACGTGCACTAACGTGGATAGAAAACAGGTTAAAATATAAAGCACACTATAGGACTGTGGCTTCTAGCCGAGGCATATGAAAACAGAAGGACGCTTCTGGATCCTAAATGTTGTCAAAATAAACAACATGTGTACAAGCTGTGATAAATGAAATCAGGCTTGAAAAATAAGGGGCAGATTGATACGACCGTGATCAAGTCACCATGACGTCTTAAGTTTTAAAACCTAGTTAAAAAAATTGGGTTAAAAGCAAAAAGTGGAATCTACATGAAAGACCTTGCCAGGTCATTTTCTTCAGTCAATGCTGAAAAGCTAATCTGAATCAGTAAAACCACGGTGCAAGAAGTCGGGCTCAAAACAAAAGCCTCGAAAAGAGAAGCTAGGCTTGATGTTAAAAGGAGGCAGACATTTCCTCACCAAAGCACCACCTCAATACTCGGTTCACTAAAACCAGCTAAATGAATGACAAAGACAATAACTGAAATCGTTGACCTAATTAATTCGGCCAAGAAAAGTTCCAACCCAAAAAAAATTATCAGAAAAAGAAGACAAGTTAAAAGACAACCTCCATTACACCCCTGCAGCCCGGACAACCAGACTACCAGGTTGAGGGGCAACTGTTATGGACCTGACAAATGTCTATATTCTAGAAGGTGCAATAAAAGGAAGGGAATCTTCTATTAATGCCAATCATATCCAGACAGCTAAGCAATTGGACTTGGGCTCCAATATTCCTAAGAGGCCCAGAAGTACATTCCTATCAGGTAACTCATCTATAAATAAGGAGTTAAGCCAGTAAGGTACACACACTCTAAACTCTCTCTCTTAGCTTGTCACTGTCCCACATCTTGACTATGTCGATTATTATTGTGCACAGTGATCTGCCTACCATCAAATGTATCTCATTTATAGATACCTGAGAGAAGACAATAAATCCTACAAAAAATATACCAGCCACCGGCTGAATATCTCTGTATTTTAAACAGAACAAGGTGCAAGAGAGGATTTTCTTTAATATGATAGAGGACTGAGCCAAATCCCTGAAATAAACCCATAATGAGGAGTTCAATGATTAAGTGTTACTTATAGTGTCTATGATTCTAGTCTTCTCAACTCTTTTTCTACTTCAAATACAATATTTTCTTTACACAATCATGTACCTAATATTGCGTTGTAGGAATCATATGTTTGCCAAAATGGGCTTGAGGTATTTATTTCCTTTTCTTTTTTATTCAATTCACTAACAGGAATAGACAGCGAACAAAAAAAATCCAAAGGATTATACCAAAAAATAAAATAAAATCCAAAGGAGCACCCTCTTAACTTTGTGGAAGTTGAACGACATATAAACATTAAGGTCATGATAAATAACTATTGGGTGTACAAAGGCCTTACCCAATAAGGAGTTAAAATTTTCCTAAAACATTCCATCAATTCAATTTCTAGTCACCACCATATTAATTACTTCTGAGTTATTTTAAATAAATTAAGATCAAAAAGTAATTAATCATGCATTTGATATTTCTTTTAGCATGTTAAGTTTATTGAACGTTATAATTTTTTTAATATATTTTATTGAAATGAAAACCAACTTTAAATTAATATAGAATTAACACCCGTGCGATATAGAAATACAACGGTATAAAAAGGAATTAAAAATAAAAAATTTGAAACTTCAAATTTAAAATAAGATGTTAATAAATACTTTTCATTAAGAAGTTATTAATAAAAATTCGAATTGTGTATTTTTTTTATTATAGTCAAAATTTGAAAACCTAAATTATATAACAAGATATTAATAAAAATTTGAAAAAAAAATTGTCATTTTAAATGACACAATTTTGTGTCATTTTTAATGAAACTACATCGTTTTGGTATGTCTTGATATTTTTTCTTTTTTATAAAATTAAGAAGAAGAAAAAGAAAGTGGAGGAGAGAGAATATAAAAACACACCAAAACAACTTAATTTCGTTAAAAATGACATAACTTTGTAATTGTATCATTTGAGATGACAAACACTTTTTTTCAAAATAAATTACTTCCATTAATACGATGTTAATACAGATATAAACTTTGAATTATTTATATTAAGATAATAATGAAAATTTTAATTTTAAAGATTTTATAACTATTTATTGAACACAACATGGCACATGAAAATTAACACAGACATCAAATTTTGATGAGACATTAATATCACAAGTTAGAGTTGCTACTAAGCAGAATTTTATGCACATGATTCTCCTTCTATATGTTATACTGATTATATTTATATTGATTTTATGCAAATGATTCACATATAATAGATACTTATATTCCAATAATATTAGGGGGGAAAATTATGTTAGACCTGCGTCGAATGACTCCAGTAACATAAATTCTTTCATCAAGGCTAACACCTCCGTTTACTATTGTGCTTGAAATTATTCTAATGTCATCAAATTACACGTACAAGGATTTGGACAAAAGAATTTTCAAGAAAAAAAGAAAAAGAAAAGAAAGAAACTAGTAGCTGATACAAAAGCTAGAACATAAAGAATAATCGGAATTTAATTCAGTTTCTCAATTTCCTACAGCATCACTACATGTCTTAGCAATGAAGAACAAGTCAATTTTGGCGACCTTGGCTCTATAATCTATTGGCTCTCGTGTTGGAAACTTGGGATTATTATGTAAGCCTCACAAAATAATCTAAAAAAATGTGCTATGAACCATACTTGCAGAGGTTATCAAATCCCATATATTCATGATTCTGAATCTTTTTAATCATTCCTACAATGCCGACTCCACCTAACAAATGAATGAAAAACGTTTCAGAATTGATGAGCATGTATCTTGATCTTTGCAAGTTTGAGATGTGCATATAACCAAACCAAAATTAAAAGAGAATTACAAGGCCTACCTAGTGTGATTGCACTGACAAATATTGTGAAGGCTAGAATGAAGATGATAAGGGAAGCTCTCCCAAATAGGATGATCAGCTTTCTCACAACATGCTGCCCTACAAGGGCTGCAATAGTAGCCACCAGAGTAAAGTATAGAGCTGTGCAACAATTCACAAAATGCACAGGTTAGAGTACTTAACTGCATCTTATCACTTTGGCCAAAAAGTAATCCATCTTATTTGCCCAAGTGTTACATAAATGAAAGCTACAAACAATCAGCTGGAAGTTCTCAAGCACGAACCATAAGGAACTGGAAAACGTTTCAGCAAATAGTATTCTACAACTGACATAGATGAGGAGAAGGTCATGGCAAATGTGGCTGTGGCACTTGAAACCTGCACAAAAGACATATAGATTCAACAAAGTATATATACATGTACCATTTCTCACAAAGGATAACCATAGCACCCTTTTTTCTCTCTTTGTTCTATATTCTTGAAATGATATCATATCTTCCACAAATATAAATAAGCATACTTTATGACTCTTAGATTGATTTCTATGTGGTGCATATTTACTGAATAATTTACCAACAGCGTGGCCTTCCAAAATTTCTAATACTGCAATTTGAAACTCACCTGAGGTGGGACTCCCAGTTCCAGAAAGAGTGGCCCCATAATGAATCCTCCACCTAGACCCAGCAAGCCACCAACTATTCCAGCCACTACTCCTAAGACACAATAGATAATTAGCTGCAGAACAGTAAAATTTGTCCCTTGATCTCCTATGGAAGAAATTACTCTCTGTCCATTATACAAGGAAACTGCCTCGTATGCAGATACCCCAACTGAAACTGGAATCTGCATAACATGGAAAACATGCTTCAAACAGTTTTCATATAATGTTGTTTTAAGTTGTAACTTGGACGAGATATTTAAATATATTTTCACAATTAAACACTACAAGCATAACATGTGAATTCAAGATAAGCAAACAGACTTGTATTAGGATAATGCTTTGAGACCACTCCTGAACAGAATTACCTGTAACAAGTTCAGTACCCAATATGCTGTTGAACAGTTGGTTGTATGGTTCTGTTGTCAATAGGTAATTTTTGAAGTCAAATTAGATAAATTTCATGGTATAAACTGTTTTATTGTAGAAGATAAGAAACAGAAAATAACAAACCTTGGCAATCTGTAGGGCAAGGAATGCAACCCAAACGAAAGCAAGAAGTCCAAGCTCCTTCCAATATACATTTTCAAGAACAGTCACCTGCAATGTCCATATTTAATTAGATATTAAAACCACACTATCCATAAGAACTCACTAGAGTATTATGACCTCATGTTTTTTGGTGTCATTTGCAATGTGATTGTTAGGTCCAGTAGGAATTGGTTTGTATTCTACTTCAGCCCCAGCACCTGTCAAAGGGAAAATTGCATAAAACTCCAACAACAGAGAGAAAAATGATTCAGGACAACCTTATTATGTTTCGGTAGATGTAATGAATAGTTTATCAACTCACCATTTGACTCTAGTCGCCTGGCAGCTTCCTATAATGAAACAACAGTGGTTAGTATAGTAAGCAATAAGCTTTTTTAGTGCTACCAGTAAAATTCCTGATTAAGCTTTAAAACGCTGCTTATAATTACTCAATTTATCTTGAAAATTTCATGAATTCTCATAGTCAATTTATCGATACAAAGTGAATAACAATACATTATTATCTCCTAGTTAAATTTTATATATTCCTTATGTTTGCATTTGTACGTTCAAAACAAGTAGTGAAAAATCATATATATGTATCAATTAAATAAGACCTTTTTCATTATGGTTTCCTTTTTCCATGTCTCAACACCCCTAAAGAATGCTTTTGTTGACGTTCCTGAAAACCAGCAAGATCAGTCAAAGGGGGTAACAAAAACAAAAATGAATGAGCAGATTAAGTCAACAGTTAAGCAAATACGTTACCTAAAAAGAGAACAAGAAGCAGTATAGTGACCATCCAGTCAGCAAATACAACATTGAAGGCCACTCCAATACTAATGCCAAGCATGAGCATTGGTTGAATTAGCAGTGCCAAATCATAGTCGATGATTGGCATATTCAATGTAGGATGCCTTAGTTTAAGATTAAAGTAAACAGTTGACAAAGCTGCACCCATGATCATGCCTGATACAAACAGAACGCCTGATGATTCAAAGGTAGTGGGACTCCTTGGAGTTATAACTTTTTCTCTTTTACGTCTAAGGATGTTATAATATACTTAAGTTTTTCTTTTGTTTTGACCATTACGAAATTAGACTAATAAATCTGTTGAAATATATAAAAATTATTAACGTAACCTCACCCAATAGCTTAAACTGTTGGGTTGAATTGATTCTTTACATGATATCAGAGTAAAAAACAGCAGCTTGTGATGAAGAATAAATCCTTGTGAACTGCATCACCTAAACATTGTATAGCAGGTTCAAACCAAACTTAATTGTGTCCATCATTTAAAATTACTGGAAATTTATTGTGAGAATCCCCGGGTTATCATCTCAAATCAAAAGGCATAGAGCCACTTGGAGATGAGCGGTAAAGAATGTTTCCACCTCAAAAAGACAGTCATTTTAACAAAACAGAATAAAACACACTGGAATTGATCATATGAGAGTATATCAGCCATTGAGATACAAATAAATGGTGAAATTTTTTCACCCTTTATCCTAATACATTTTCCTATCACCATTGATTTGTGTCTTAACAGCTGAAATCCTATCTCACATTACCTTACGTCACATAAGAGAATCCATTCCTAAAACACTAACAAGAATTGCATACGAACTCCAAAAAAGTTGATGAATATGTTTACAGAAGAATAGTAGTCACATTAAATACATATATGTTTTAACTTAATCTTTACTCAAAAACATTCAGTTTATCAATAAAGGAATCCCTGCTCTAATAAATAATTAGCATGATTATGATTGAAACCTGTATTTGACTCACAAATTACATATTAGCCCGTTTTAATCATAAGTTTTTGTAAACACAAGTCCAAGTAAACACCACCTACATTTTGAGATAGCTGTGGACGATTTTGCATCAAACCCAATAACGAGGCTAAGCATTGGAACGAATATGCCACCGCCACCAACACCACCTACACTCCCAAAAGCTGCTCCACAAAAACCAATAATGGTACCCACAACACTTTGCCACCCAAATTCCATGTCCTGCAAAATGTAACCTCCACTATAACTTTTTCCCTATCATGATATCAAGTGACGACAACAGCACACAGAAAAACGCAAGATAACAACAATTAACTCTGCACCACCCCATCACAAATCTAACACAGAAGCACTTTTTCAGTTAAAGCAGCACCAATCTGAACATCATTATTTTACAAGTAAATAGTAAACAAAATCACATTCATGCATTGATTCCCAAAATCAAAAACAACTTATCCCCCATCAGTAAAAAAAAATTAGAACCTCAATTCTCTCTTTGGTTTTGGCTTAAGACAAAAAAAAAATTTCTAAAAAAAAAAAAAGAAAAGAAAGAAGGAAAAAAATACACACAACATCATCATCATCATCAACAACAACAAGTAACAAATGAAGAACTCACCGGCCACACGTGTTGATAACCTGATTCCCCAGGTTGCCATAAGAAATCCATAGCTTTGTTAAGGAAACTGTGTTCATAGACCTGTGTAACGTTGAATATTGACCCTTCAAGCTTCATAATCCCTCTATCACCCGAAACAAACACGAAACCCGAAGCAAAGTGTAACATAAAAAACATCATCATCATCCATATCGACCCCATTTTTTATTTTTTTTTCAAAACTAAACTTCACCCTCAAATGATAAAATTGGTTATCTAATGATAAAGCCAACGTCTAAATGCAGTACTGTTTGGCAAGCAAAGAAAACCGAGACAATAAAACGAAGAACCGAAGAAAAGGGTGGTGACGAAAGATGAATGGCCAAAAAGTTAATAGAGTAATGTGATAACAAAAATGATTTTCTGGAAGAAAAAGAAAAAAGAAATGAACAACCTGACAAGAAAACTTCACCTTTTTGGTGAGAAGGAATAAAAACAAGACATTGTATTGTAATGGACAATACCAAATTATTGCTTGGGAAGGAAAAAGGTAAAAAAGGAAATGATGAGAATGTGGAAGAGATGATCACAAAATATTAGCAGCGAGTGGTGTGGTGGGAGAGCAACGAAAAGAGCGCTCTCTCACTCACTATAGTTTCATACGCATGATATGACACTCACAAATTCACAATGCTCTTAACCTCTTTGCTGTGACGCATAAGTTTTTTTTTTTTTTGTTTGGAGTTACTCAACCCTAATTATCTCTTTGAGACGAGTTGGCTTCCTCCGGTATCTCCACGAGCTTCGACTCTTTGAGCCGGCTATGAGACTAATCTGGAGTGCGGGGGAGCAGTGATGGCTAAAGGTTCAGCCCCCTCCCCAAGAGTGCATTCAGCGGGAATCGAACACATATCCAACCTCACTAACTCAGCGCCAAGTTACCAACTGAGCTGCACCCATTGGGTCATAAGTTTATACTATGGGAAAAATGTTTCTCAAGTTAATTATCTGTATTTATTCTTAAAATAACGTCGTTTTGGTATTGAAATATTAAAAAATTATAAATATAAAGACTATTATAACCCTGAAATAAATTAAAATTACAAAAACACCATAATTTCCGTCCCAAAACGACGTCGTATTGGCTTACTGCAGATAACTTATCTGCAGTAACTGCAGAAAAAGCGAACCCTTATACTATACGGTATGATATTTTTAGTTGTTTGGTGTGATCATCGTATAGTATAAACTTATACAACGCAATTCCTTTATACATCAAAACGATGTATACTAAAAATATCTTTTAATAAAGAATTTATATAATTCTTCCAAAAATATCATATAATAATAATCTTTATAAAAATCTATTGATTATTGTGTCCAAAAAATAAATTAATTTTTATAAAATATAAATATTCAATAATTTAAATTGAGAATTGCACTGGTCAATAATGTTAATACACCAATCACTTGTGAGGCCTAATCCCTCCCCTTAGATCGGATTAAGTTATATATCGTTTTGATGTATTAAGGAATTCTGCTATATAAGCTAATACTATATAAGCCAAATAATTAAAAATATCATAACATATACTATAAGCTTATACTATCAGACCTTATACATCACACCAAACAGGCCCTTAGTTTGTAAGAGTTTATAAATAAAAAATTTGTAAATATAACTTTTTCCTTTTCACAATTATATTTTGATGAAAAATGTTTCTCCCGGATCAATTTAGTTGAAATTAATATTTTTTATTTAAAACTCTTATTTTCTCTCTTATAATTTTTATTATTTTTTTTTTTCTCACTAAAAATGACATAATTTTATATATTTTAAAAAGATAAACACTAAACCCTTTAATTTTTTACTATAATGTGTGTTCTTCAAATATATATTAAAAATGACATTTATTATTTTTAGATAACAACCAGGCTGAAACCCTAATTTGTATGAGTTATTTAATTTTGGATTTAAGTTTTTTCATATTCCCCAATAATTGCAATCCTCAATAATTGAACTTGTTATCTTTTGGATAATTCAAATTCTGGAATTTAATTGGGTCATTATTAAATCAATAACTCATAAATAATACTTATTATTTTTAGTTATTTTAAATAATATCAAATATATTTTAAAAAAGTTAGTAAATATATTTAAATTTTTAAAATTATACTTCTCATTTGATATTTTTAATTTCTTAACTCTTGTGACACATGTTAACAAAGTTTATTTTTCTTAAATGATTATTGTGCTTAAAGTTATATGAGTAATATTCAATGTGGTTATTCCAACGATAGAAATTAGCTGAAGGATGGCGGTGGTGCTCCGGTAATAAATGGAGAGGTTAATGTACTTACAACACCATTATAAGATCAAGGGATACTGTCCTGGGTTTGTAACTCATATGGATCTATTTATGAAGGAAAATTATTCTCTCATGTAATAAGAGAGAGTTATTTTATATTATAGATACATCGACAAATGTTTTTTTTTTTTTTAACATATGATAGGATCCATTATGTGTTGGGTCTATGATATGAGAAGAGTATTTCCTACAACATACTCTCATTTATAAATTACCGAGAAGTCCATGTGTCAATATTTGCATAAGATAACTCGGTAGTTTTTGAGTCCGTATATCCGGAAGCCCAAATCGTGGTCTTAATCCATATTTCTATCCATGTATACAATGATATATCACAATTTTTGTAACTGTCAAGTTAATAACTGTTCCGTATCCACTAATAATAACTGTTAATATAACATATAAAAAGACAGACATTTAAGAGGAACGGAATAAGTTCAGATCACCAAGAATCACTATCAAATCAATCTATCCTTTAATGTTCATGCCAAACAGATATCATAGAAATGGATTAGATATATACTTAGGGCGGTGGAGACTATATTTTTTTTTTTTTATAAATACGTGGAGACTATATAATTACAGGAAAAAACTACTCTTGTACAACATAAGAGTAGTTTATCTCCTATAGATTCATTGAAAATCGTAACATTTTTTTTTCTTTTCTTTTTTGTAGATAGTGGATCCTACCACATGTGTCTCCATAACATAAGATATCATCTTTCATGTAACATCATATTAGATGAACCCATATCTATAACATAATTTCTTACCCAAAATCATGAGATCGTGAGATCTGGGATCGAACACGATTATTCGTGGAGATTTCTAATCATGTGGGACCAAGAATATTAGAAGTCAATTAAAAAAAAAACTTAATAATTATGGTTGATATACTAAAAACAAAAAATTTTAAAAATAAAGCTAAAGGTTATTTGATAATTGTACAAAGTTACTTTTGGGTTTTGAAAGTAGAGATCTAATAATTTGTTATTAGAATAAAGGGTTAGGATATTTTGACTACTAATTTTTTCTATTATCACTCCACTACCACTTTAATCACCATTGGATTAGAGGAAAAATTAAATGAAGAGAGAGAAAAAAAAATAACTTTTAATCCAATGGTAATTAAAGTGGTAGTGGAGTGGTAGTAAAAAAAATTAGGAGTCAAAATATCCTACCTCTAGAATAAATTATAAGGGTAAATAAAAAATTAGAATAAGGTTATAATTAAAAAATAAATATGGGAATTTAAAAAAATTGACATACACCTTAATAAATATGACAAGAGCTTTTGTAAAATTAAGTTTAATTAAGTTTTTTCTCTCTCTTCATTTAATTTTTCCTCTAATCCAATGGTGATTAGAGTGGTAGTGGAGTGATAATAGAAAAAATTGGTAGTCAAAATATTCTACCTCTAGAATAAATTATAAGGGTAAATAAAAAATTAGAATAAGGTTATAATTAAAAAATAAATATGAGAATTTAAAAAAATTGACATACACCTTAATAAATATGACAAGAGCTTTTGTAAAATTAAGTTTAATTAAGTTTTTGCTTAAAAAAAAATAGTAAAACTCTTTTGAATCCTTAACTAAAATCACGGTACCTACTTTCGTATTTTATAAAAAAAGTGCTCATATTAATTTTTTTTTAGGGACTAATTAAATTAGGACTTCGTTGACTTTACGAGGGACCATATTTTCAAAGAATTAAAATTGTAGAAGAACCAACAATTGATTTTTTTTTGTAAAGGACGAAAGTGGAGAACACTTTTTTGTTAGGGATCCAAAAGAGACTTTACTCTAAAAAAGAAGAAGCTAAAACTATAAACTCCCAAACAGGCACCAAGTTAGATGTAACCCCAATTAATGGTCTAAAACAAATAATAAAATATATATTACAAAAATCATGTTACATGTATAAAATATGGGAAAAAGACTTTTCATGTTGTATGAGAAATCTTTTCTCTTAATGTTTGTTTGGATTCTCTTTTTTATAAGCTAAAAGTTACTTATAAGCAGATGTTAGGCCAAACAGGTTTTGAGAAAAGCTCTTATAATGAAAAAAAAAATTATAATAAAGAAAAAAGCTAAAAGTTAAAAGCTCCTAGGGAAGCTTTTTTTAAGCTCTTATCTACTTTTCTTGACTTGTGTGAATTTTTTTTGAAATGAAGAGCAATAGAGATAGGGAGAGAAAGTTTTCTTGAAATATGTGTTTTTAGTAACTTTTATGCTAAAAAATTTACGTAATCACCAAACAACTTTTAACTTTATTTTTAAGTTCTTTTTTTTAACTTTAACTTATAAATAGCTTCTAGTTTAAAAAAGAGAGGATTCAAATAGACTCTTACTATCTTCACTTTGATGATTGTGCATTTCTCTCTCGGTAGGAAGGTTTCAACTTCTCATGCAATATGAGAAGTTGCAAGCCATAAAATATTTATTTAAAATTTTACATAATAGGTATTTTCTTAATGTGTTATAATAATAACATATATTGGTTTTAAAAAATAAAAATATCAATAACATTATTCCCATAAATATAATATGGGAAAAGTGTTTATCCTTTTAAATGACACAACTTATATTCTTTCACTTTCACAAAGAGGTGGGACCCACACCTTTATTTTTTTTGTCAACTATCTCTCCTTCTTTATCTATCTCTTTCTCTCTATTAAAACGACACAACTTTACATTCTTTAAAATAACACACATTTTT